GATTTCACATGTAGAAATATATTGGATTTAAGTAAATACATTGGATTTTAAATTACATCTTGATATATGGATAGGGTGCATGATGGTTCATTTTATAAAAAGTCCCGAACCAAAGAGCTTGCTGAGAAGGAAGGAAATTGTTTAATAAAAGCATTTTTGAAGGGCTGTGTCATTTAAAAAATAACGGCCAAATATGATTTAAGAATTTTAAATAGATTTAATATGATGATTTATCTCTCTTGCCTCAAACTTCTAGTAAACGTTATATATTTTAGAAAGATTGATATAGAGTCAATTCTGATGTAATCTCTTAATAAACTTAATGTCAAATACAAATATTTAATTTCAGATTAAATAATGGAAGTATGGCTCTTATAATTGCACGGAACACTTCTCGACCGGAATTTATAAAACACCTGAAAAGATACGCCAGTGTTAAAAATCAGGTATAGTAAATTCTTTTTGTTACTTATATGCAAAGCTATTAAGCACGGACAGTGATATGTTGCAAGAGCTGACATCAAGTCTTGCCTCATAAGAAGGCTTTATTTTCTTCCAAATACATTAATTTTTTTTCAACATGTACTTCCTCCAAATTTTGAAAAGCATCCACCAGTACTAATATAGATTGGCCTTTTTTTGAGCTATGGCTTGGTGGTTATATATTTGTGTCTTGTTGGCTTGTTTGGGTTCTTGTGCAAAAAGAAAATAGAAAATTTAGTGTTGTATTGAAATTATGAAGTAAATTGAGGTTAAAATTACATACTGGGATACTTTTCAGAATGAAAAGTAGTGAACCATCTTTAGGTTGAACTGAATGTTCACATACATTAACAATTGTAGGGCATATTGAAAACCATCATTTGCGGTGTGACTCATCCTACCTCCTCATCTCTGTGTATAGTCCCTGGAAGGTAAAAGTTCCATTTCAGGTTCTTTCGACTCCATCCTGTAACTGGACAGTTTCCACTGCCCGTGCATTTCTACATTCACATTGGCCATCGTTTTTAGGAGGGAGTTTAAAACCCTTAAATGCTAGAGTTCCCCAGGGGTTTCTTGGTAGCCTCCTTGTCTTCTCATGACACCTCCTCCTGGGTGGTCACATGGCCGCCTGTTTTGAACTATCTGAGTGTTGCCCACTTTCAAGAGTTCTGTCTTCTCTTCTGACCTGCAGGATCACTGTGGTTTTGTCTGTGCTGTGGTTATAAAACTCACAGGCATCTTGTGTCCATAGCTGACCTTATTATCTTTTCCCCTAAAGGTGCTCCTTCCATGGTTCCCGACACAGGTCAGTGGCATCACTCCACCCATCCTGGAGTTGCTCTGACTTCTCTGTCTTCCTCATTCCTCACAACCCACCCCCCAAGCAGGTCTGTTTGTTCCCCTCTTAAATGTTTCTGAAATTGCTCCTTCTCCTTACTTCAAAACTCATGCCTTCTTGCTTCTAATAGCCTTCTTTCTGGTCTTCCTTTTCCCTGGTCTTGTCTGTCTTCCAAACTTCCTTCTAAGGGGCTTTTTCTAAAACATAATTCTGATTTCTCTTCTGCTTAATTCCACAATGCCTTTCTCATTGTCATCAGGCTAACATCTAATTTCCCCAGCATGTACATGGCCCTTTGTATTCTGGCCCTTGCCCACTGAAGCCTCACATCTTTACCATCCTCTCCCAGAATTCCTGTTTTTGTCATTTTATCAGTTTGCTAGAGCAGCCATATGAATATTACAGACTGGGAGGCTTACGCACAGAAACTCATTTCTTCACAATTCCGAATGGGAGAAGCCCCAGAAGGTGGGTGTCTCCTGAGGCCCCTCTTGGCTTGCAGAGGGCTGCCTTCTGGCTGTCCTCTGTGTCTGCACATTCCTGGTATCTCTCTGCGTCCGTTTCCTCTTCTTACAAGGACACCAGTCCTGCTGGGTTAGTGCCCACCCCAATGACCTCATCTTAACTGATTACATCTGCAGAGACCCTATTTCTGAAGATGACATTCACAGGTAGTAGGGGTTAGGACTTCTAGGTACCTTTATGAGGGACACAGTTTAGCTTATCATAGCCAGTTACTAATGACTCATTTCAAACTCATTGTTTACAATGAATGACTAGGTAGACAATGAATGATTAAGGAGAAATTTTTTCAAGTGCGCAGTGTAGTATGAAGGGTGTCTGCAAGGCTGTACCCTGAGAGGGGAAACCTGATGCAGAGACTTAAGCATTTTCAGAGAACTGCTTGGGGCCCTCTGATCAGAACAGCCGATGCCACCATATAACCCCAGTGTAATCCACTGAAACCCAGTGTATGATACAGTATGGACTGGAAAATCTACTGGACTGTGTTTTCTGCTATGTAAAATAAGGGTGTTTGGAAAATTTCAGTTTTCTGTTAACTTTTAAGTTTCTGTGCTTCATTGAGGTTTATATGTGGAAGGGGGAAGAGAGAACATGTAGATCAGCGGTTCTCAACCTGTGGGTCGCGACCATCGGAAAACACATGTAGCATATCAGATATTTACATTACTATTCATAACAGTAGCAAAATTACAGTTATGAAGTAGCAAGGAAAATAATTTTATGGTTGGGGGTCACCACAACATGAGGAACTGTATTAAAGGGTCGCGGCATTAGGAAGGTTGAGAACCACATTGTAGGTAATATGAAGAATAAGTCTCATGTCATTTATCTGAAAACTAAAATAAATGAGTAGTTACTCTGCACTTCTGCTAGAGTAAGTAGGTTATTTTTTCACTTGTTTCCTTAAGCAAACAAGAAAAATTGAAATCTGAAGTTTACTTTAGTCCAGTGGTTCTCAACCTCTGGCCCTTTAAATACAGTTCCTCATGTGGTGACCCAACCATAAAGTTATTTTCATTGCTACATCATAACTGTAATGTTGCTACTGTTATGAATTGTAATGTAAATATCTGATATGCAGGATGGTCTTAGGCGACTCCTGTGAAAGGGTCGTTTGATCGCCAAAGGGGTCGCGACCCACAGGTTGAGAACCGCTGCTTTTCCCTATTCTAAACAATTACCTTGCAACTTGTGGTCACCTTTAAAGTGGGTTCATGAAGCCAGCAAACACCTGTGAAACAGTCGATTGAATTTGTTTTTTTTGCCTTCATAAGTTTAGGCCTAGGTTCTTCTTAATTAAATTCCAAGTGTGAAACTTACACTAGACCTCGCTTTCTATCAGCTAAACTAGGTGACAAGTTACTAATCAAGTCAGTGGATTATAAAAATCTTCTGTATCAACAGACCAGTATTAAGGATTGTCTTTGGAAATTCTATGATATCATTACTATATACAATTTCATAGAGATTTCCTGTTTTGTCACCCAACAAGTTTGGCCAGCTGCTAGATCTAAATGAGGGGGAAAGCTTCAGAAGAAGGGTTCCTTCTTCCAGAGAAACTGGGGAACCCTGGTTATAATTAGTTTCAAAGCATGCATGTTGATATTTACTTGCAAGAGAGAGCACAGTGAACTTTCTTAATGTGCACTAGCAGCTAGGGATAAAGGAAGCACCCTGATTATTTGCATTTTTTAAATTGTTGACAGTGTTACAGATGTCTCCCATTTTCTCCCTTTTGCCCCATCTCAGACCTTCACCATGCTATTGTCTGTGTCCATTGGTATGCATATATACTCTTTGGTTAATCTCTGCCTGTCCCCTCCCACCCTCTCCCCTCCCGAGATCTGTTATTCTATTCCATGCATCCATACTTCTGGACCTATTTTGTTCGTTAGATTCTATATATGAGTGAGATCATGTGATATTTGTCATTCTCTAACTGGCTTAGTTTGCTTAGCATAATACTCTCCAGGTCCATCCACGCTGTTGCAAAGGGTAAGAGCTTCTTTTTTATAGCCACATAGTATTCCATAGTGTAAATGTACCACAGCTTTAAAAAAAAAAATCTTTATTGTTTAAAGTATCACATTTACATATGTCCCCTTTCCTCCCCATTGACCCTTTCTAGCCACTTTCCCTCCCACCCCCCACCTTCGTCACCCTATTGTCTGTGTCCATGGGTTATGCATATATGCATACAAGTTCGTTGGTTGATCTCATCCCACCCACTCACCCCTGCCTTCCCTCTGAGATTCTAGTCTGTTCCATGCTTCTATGTCTCTGGATCTATTTTATCATTTTGTTGCTCATTAGATTCCACGTATGAGTGAGATCATGTGATACTTGGCTTTCCCTGACTGGCTTATTTTGCTTAGCATAATACTCTCAAGGTCCCTCCCAAGGTCTCAAAGGGAAAGTGATTCTTCTTTCTTACTGTAGCAGAGTATTCCATGGTGTAAATGTTCCACAGCTTTTTTATCTATTCATCTACTGGTGGGCGTTTCAGGATTCTTAGAATATATTTCCAGAAGTGGGATTGCTGATCAAATGGCAGATCCATTTTTAATTTTTTGAGGAACTCCATACTGTTTTCCATAATGGCTATACCAGTCTGCATTCCTGCCAGCAGTGAACCAAGGTTCCCTTTTCACCATATCTTTGCCAGCACTTGATGTTTGTTGATGATAGCCACTCTGGCGGGTGTGAGGTGATACCTCATTGTCATTTTAATTTGCATCTTTTTGATGATTAGTGATGTTGAACATTTTTTTTCATATGTCTATTGGCCATCTGTATGTCCTCTTTGGAGAAGTGTCTATTTAGGTCCATTTGTTTTATTTAGTTCAATTTTCCATTCGTTGAGACTTACACTGTTGAAGAAGTAAAAGTTTATCCAAGGAATAAAACAAGTGCACACAGTCTAGAGGAGGAGGATCAACCACATGAACCTGCTTCAGAAAACAGTTTCCCCTGGAATGTAGATGGCGACTTAATGGAAGTTACATCAGAGGTCCACGTTAAGTAAGTCTAATTATTTCACTACCTTCTCTGCCCACCAGTAGACACAAAACTACTAGTATAATGGAAGCAAGCAATTGGCTAGATTTCTTTTGAAATTAGCAAATCAGGGAAGGATAAACAGATAGATATGTAATTTAAGTATGATTCTTCATTTATTCATCAATTGTTATGGAGAGTTAACACATTTTCTTTGGTTATAAGTCTACACTATACAGATAATGTATGTCTACAATTTCCATTTTGAATTTGAAAAACATGAGTCAAAAGTTTAAACCTTGTGACACTGAGTAGCAGATTATTACAATTTAATCCATTAGTCTTATACTACATAACACTTCCTACTCAGCAGTTCCATGTGATTTACATATCATTTAATTAAGTAACAAGAGCAACTGGTGAGCTCTCTATATGTACAATTGGCTGCATTTTACAGAAACAATGGAGAATATTAGTCAAGAAGGCTTTATACTAATTCAGTGCTGATTTATTACACATCCTGGCCCCAGTTTCTCTAGATTTCATCTCTGCCATGAATGTGTATGTTTTTGTTGGCTATCATTAGACTTGCACTTGGTATTAAGCACTGTACTCAACTGGTATATGTGTGAAAAATAACAGAATGATAGGTTGATAAAATAATCAATTACACATATTATTTTATTCTTTGCAGATTACACCCAAGACTTATCAATCTTTATGGTGAAAGCATGGAAGAAATGAATGATTCCAAAGTAACATGTAATTGTTTATAACAGAAACATATGAACGGACATATTTTAAACAGATATCCTAACAGGAAAAAAAAATCTTTTAAAGAAATTAAAATTGCTTGCTACTTTTGACATTGCTAAAAATTAGCATTGAGGGTTTGAATATACCACATGATTTAAATTCTGGGTTTTTTTTTGGAATGTCTTTATATCTACTTTTTAACCTAGATATGTAATTCCAAAGTGAAATAATTTACATTCTTTCATTTTTCAGGACCATCAATTCTGTTGTTAAATATCCTGTAGTCTGGTACGCATAGACCAGAGTTCATGTACGAATGCCCTGATTTTCCTAATGAGGGACTTCTCCAGTGAGGTTAAATTTCAAAATTATACGACTCAGTCTGACCAGAAATCGAACTACTATTTTCAAAATTTCTCTAATAACTAAACAACTTCCCCCCAAAAGAATCTCTCCTTATTTTTAAGTTGTTATGGTACCAATTTTACGAATATTCTCTGAAACTTGAAAATGCAAGTTGATTTTCTTCAAAGTGGTGGGGGTTTTATAATTCATAGTTTATTAAATTTTATTTTAAACTATGCAAAATATCTAACTGGGCAGAATCTGGCCCATTAGGGAGCTGCGCTCTCTTGCTCCTGACAGTCCTATGTTCTGGCCATTATAACGTAGCTTTCAATAGCACCTGAAATGCTGTCATTTCTGAATAGGAAAGAACCAAATTTAAGTTTCCTCAGGGATCATCCTTGAGAAAGAAATTCTAAATTTGGGCTTTATTTTCCACCAGTGATTCTACACATTTTCCTGAACGGCTTCTATTCAAAAAAATATACTTTAAATTTTATAAATGTAATCAGATTGTATTGGCACACAGAGTTCACAGGAGGTTTCATGTTCATGCATCTCTGTGCATCCCGCACTTTCCACCAATCACAGACTGTAGGCTTGTGATGGATAACTTATACAGCAATTAGGTGGTCTGAGGAAGATGGCTTTTGGCAGGGACTTCCTATAAATATTTCCTATGGAATATTTTCCATAATAGTAAAGACTGACCTCTAATTTATCTATTTGATCACATCTTGTAACAGATTTTCAAAATTTGGCCACCGTCTTCTTATATATATAAAGCCAGATTTAGCTCAGTTCAAATGAAATTATATCCTAAGATCAGCATCTAGTTCATATGTATGAATAAATAATACAAAAGATTATCTTTAAATGTCTTAAAATTTTAAAATATAAATTATATAATTATAAAAAGGAATCTAAGATAACCAATAAAAATTTAAAATGTTTCACTGATCACTAAAACATATACCATGGAAATTTTGATGTTATATTTATATTCACTGGATATAAGCTAAATCTATTTTAAAATTATAAATTATGTTTCCCCATTTCCATGCAGAAGAGACTGATCTTATAAGCATTTAACACTTACATTTGAATAGAAAAGGGTAATATCCAGTTACTATTTACAGAGTATCAGTATGATAGATTTCTCCTTAACCACTGTTTTTACAGAGCTTTGATTTTAAAAAATTATTTGTGAGGTACAGTTTTCATATTTTACATATACCAGTTAAAGTGCAACATTCACAATCTGTTTCAGAATATAAATTAGAATTTTAAGTACTGTTGTTTTGTAAACAAGAAAATTGACTAATGACAGATTTTTAAAATTTACTCTGGGGTACCCTTAAAAAAATTGTTACAGGAGAGACTTATGGATTTATACCTATGTGAACATATATGTATATTTCAAAGTTATGTATGTACAGAAAGAAGAAAGAAATCTATAGTTGTATAAACAACAATTACCTAGAAGTCATCCCATTAAGCTCAAACCAGTGTATAAAAGTTCAGTCTGAAGTTTGCTCTTCAGGCCCATTAATCATAGACTGCTGAATGGTTGTTGATCAAAGCCCATAGGAAATATATTACAAGTAAAGGGCTTAAAGGTAAAATGCTTTCTTTAAAAATATTTAGCCGAATTTTTTCAAAGAGCTGTTTCATTCATTAGGAAACAGCTCTTTGAAAAATTCGGCTGAATATTTTTAAAGAACATAATTCAAACCAGTCTCAAAGATTAGAAATTTATTTTGCTGAAGCAAGCATATATGTTGAAGTCCAAGACTTCTTCAGTCAAGTTTTATGATTTAATTCAGATGCACTTTTATTTCCAAATATCCTCAAGGGATTATTTATCTTAAATGTTTTAGTGTTTTATATCCATTTAATAACTGAAACAATACCTTTTTCATTTGCCTTAAGACATAGTATGTCACAAGGTTATGAGTAAATGTACATAAAAGAACTCTGGGCGAAGCAAAGTTCATGGTTTCTTGTAAACAATGTCTTAAATTTCTTTATTATATACCTGAGTCTTAGTTTTCTCAATTTAAAAGAAATCTTTAATCATCATCATCATCATTGCTTTTACTGTTAATGTAATTCCAACTGTCTCTTCTGTTTTCTTCTTGTAGGATGGATTTGTACTGTCTTTTAAAGAAGCCAGCCTGAAAAAAATCATTGTATAATCACTAGTGTGCAATTATTACACTCATATAAAATATCTAAACAGTCAATGGCAAGTTAACATCGGTGATACTTTCTATGACTAAGTAAAACAACATATAACAAAACCAAATATTTCATAGGCTAATTGATATAAACAAGAGTTAATTGACACCATTTGAGGACCTGCTATAGTTCTTAAACTGTGTCCCATGTAGTCAGTAAAAATTAATTTGGAAAATATGGGATTAAAGAGCAATTACTGCAGGACTTACTAATGCAGGTGTAAACTCCCTAAAATTGACATTCAACATAATGTGCAGTGTTTCTCAAATGTTTTTTTTTTTAAATGAGTTATCTTTAAAGAAGGCATATTTTTCTAGAACTCTGATATGGAAGTTAGGAGAAATATGGTGAAATCAGTACTGTATATTCACTTGGGAGGCACAAATTGGCTTTACGAAAGTCAAGGGTGGCATTTTGAGTGGGTTAACATTGGTAATTATTAAAGAAAGGCTTACCTTCCACATAACATATGAAATCAACAAAAGTAAAATAAGTCCAAGTATCAAGCTACTTGAAATAATTGCCAAGGTCAGATGGCGTGTGGGTCTTTGATGATGTAGTCCTTCGAGCCAAACCTACATATTAACCAACATAAAGAAGCACCAGTTTAAAAGTTTGCTTGTTTCCTTTGCAGCCCCTCCTCAATCCCCAATAGTATTTAGAACAACCCATCCCATTCTCTTGCTGGTTCCTGATCAGAAACAGTAAACAGTAAGTACAATGGACTTTTTCTGTGGTTCTTCCTCCAATCCATCCTAAACTCCTTAAAAAGCTGTCATTCCCTCTTTCCAGGTGTGGAAAATACCAACTCTCAGGAAAGTATCTCAAGCCCTCCATGAACTAGTAAAAAAATCTATTTTCCTGACTAAACACCCTAACAATACTATTTTTCCTACCATCTTAATGTTTCAGTTTAACTTACGTGTGCAACATTGCCATCCTTGTTTAGTTCAATAATTTTTGGATGTGGCTCTGGAAAAGCTGTTGCCCTTATTTCAAACTTGAGTGCTGAAGTCTCATCCTGTTTAATAAATGAAAGATCTCTATTGATTCATAGTGTTATTTTATGAAGACATACTAACAGAACTAATTTCTCATGATCCTTACCTACTATCTAGAAGTTTTCATAATTAATCTTCCACAATTTACTTCACCATTTGTAATTAATTGCAATGCTTATTTTGATGATAAAGGCATGGTCTTGGTATTAATTTATATGGCACCATTTTGTTGAAAAAAAATTTTTTTAAATATATTTTATTGATTTTTTTTTTTTTTTTTTTTTTTTTTTTTTTTTTTACAGAGAGGAAGGGAGAAGAAGAGGGATAGAGAGTTAGAAACATCAATGAGAGAGAAACATTGATTCAGCTGCTTCCTGCACACTCCCTACTGGGGATGTGCCCGCAACCAAGGTACATGCCCTTGACTGGAATCGAACCTGGGACCCTTCAGTCCGCAAGCCAATGCTCTATCCACTGAGCCAAACCAGTCAGGGCTTATTGAAATTTTTTTTATTAAACATAGCCACTTTGCAGATAACTTAATTTAAATACTATGTGTTTGTAGTGTATTTTCCCCTGAGTATTGAATTTTTAACCCCAAAATAAGACTTTCTCCACTTGATAAACCTTTCCTAAAATTAATTTTATTTGGGCTTCTTTTTATTTCTTTCTAAGTTGTGCTGCTCTAATCAAATACACATAGTCTAACTAATACTGTAATGGAAAAATCTGGTACAAATAAGTTATAGCATTCAGATATCAAATCAGTAGGTTGATGAACTCAGAGAACTTTACTATTTACTACAGAGACTTATAAGCCAGAATCCCCAGACACTAAGGACTTTTGAAATTGTATGCAAAATTGAGGTGTTTTTTTAAGTATGTGCATTCATTGGGGAAGATGAGAATATATTCTTGAAGGTCTTAAAAAGTTTTTTTGTTATTGTGTTTTAAAGACAATTTTACTTTTTAGCTTTATTAAATATTAGATTTTAAGCATAATTTAAAATAGTTTGGAAAGAACTTTAAGGTTATACAAAATGTTAAGGCAGTCAATTTCTTTGATTTAATCAAGGTCTAAAAATAGTTGAACATACTTCCTAAAATAAACATCTTAATTACCTATTTAATTACTAAAAACCATGTCATTTAGACAATGTATTCAGTTAAAGTAAAAGGGGAGCGATCAACCGCAACCAAAGGACTTGTATGCATGTATATAAGCATAACCAATGGACACAGACACCGGGGGGGGGGGGGGGGGTAAGGGAGGGGGGGAGGAAATGGGGGATAAGGACACACATGTAACACCTTAATCAATAAAGAAAAAAACTAAACAGTTAAGTTTCACTCTAAATTTTATTTGTTGAATGCTTCCCTATATACCCGTGATGGCGAACCTATGACACGCGTGTCAGAGGTGACATGCGAACTCATTTTTTTGGTTGATTTTTCTTTGTTAAATGGCATTTAAATATGTAAAATAAATGTCAAAAATATTTTTTTTTTTTTTACTATGGTTGCAAATATCAAAAAAATTTCTGTATGTGACACGGCACCAGAGTTAAGTTAGGGTTTTTCAAAATGCTGACACGCCGAGCTCAAAAGGTTCCCCATCACTGCAATATACCATCCTACTTAGATATAGTTTGCGGATTCTGTATGGACTTACCATTTCTAAGATGGATGGCCGGCCTTCCAGCTGAATGTGAACACTGGCTTCTTTCCCACTTTCCATTTTTCCAAAATTGCATGAGAAATTCAAACAATGTGGATCAGGTTTTATGCAGTACTTGAAAGAATACCAAAAAGCTACATTAAAATTTCAACATTTTTTAGAAGATGGATAAAATAATAATTTTATCCATGGAATTAAAATAATTTACATGGAATTAAAGATCTGTTTTTGTCAGTGGCATTTTAAAAATCTTACTTTAAACAATTTAAACAAATGTTTGTTTTATAAAACAAAGTATTTGAACTGGAGCATGTGTTCTTATGAACCTAACCGTCTGGGATAGATGTTAAAAAGAAAGACTCCTAATCAGAATCTTGCCAAGTTGGATGTTCTCTGTTTATTATAAAAGTTGAATAATTTGAATGCTAAGATTGCTTGTTTTTTGTTTTTTTTTTCTCATAAATTCAATTAACTGAAAAGAGTCAAAGTTCTTTTGAGTAGCCTTTGTGAAATGAGATTAAGAGGGTATGGAGAAATGTCTGGCTGGCGCAGAATGGGCATTTGTCAGACAAATAATTAAAATGTATATAGTTAACCCTGGGTCTATCTCAAATTTCCAATCGTGTCTGTTCCTCACTTGCAAGAATATTACTTGTTTCTCTCCTAACCCAACTGACAGCTCAAACCCATTGACTTTAAGCATTTCAGTTCTGTATGTTGGAAAACAAAAACAATGAAAAACTGAAACTTACCAATAGCCTCTTATCAGTTCTCGAAAAGAATTTATATATGTCTCTTAGGGCCTCCATTGCATCTTTTTTCTTTTCTGATGTGCACATTCTTTGATAATTTTTAAAATGGCATTCTCCTGAACTAGTCTATAAAGATAGGAAGCAAGAAAAGTGTTATAATTCAATATTGGAAAGAACAACAAAAGCTACATGGTTTTAAAAGTTCCAATAAAAATGAAGTTCCAATTGCTTGATTACCTTTTCTAAAAATATCAAGTACTTCTGAAAGTGTGAAAATATTTTTGACAGATATTTGGGAGAGATTAAATCTCTGCAGCAAAAACACAAACTCAGAAAAATTTTAGAGGGTTGGATATAGGTCCTCAACTAATCAAATGGCCTTAACCTTACAGAAAATTAGGGCAATGTAAAAAATGGGCATTTGAGCATTAGCATGAAATTCAACATTTCTCGGGCTTTAGACACTATGTCCTACCATCTAAATTTGGAATTCAAGTAAGGTTTTAAAAAATTAGAACACAAACCCAATTGGTAGGCTTATTGATTGATTGCTTGTCTTGAAACTGGGAGAGTAAAAACAATTCTGATGGAATCAACAACATAAGAATACTTATTCTTAAGTAGTGATTTGAATATTCTTTCTTTAAAAAAGGCTGAAATACTAATTTTGTTCCCCAACAGTGGTCTCAAGTTTTATGGTAAATTCTATCAAATTAGTCCCACAGGTCCATATCACAAAGAAAATGTACTGAAATAGTAGAGCGTAATTCTGTTATTGTATGTGTCAAATGCAGGGGTTCTAATGCAATGTATAATAGTCAAGGTGTACTCAATGAATGCAGGGTGAATTTATAGCTGAGAGTGTGATTGAAGTTAACAGACATTTCCATTTCAGCAGTATTACTTACAATAAAGAAGGGAACAGATTTTTACCTGGACATCCAAAATGTTGAACAACTTATCAGTTTGGGGGATAAAAGAATTCGGGACCATTATTTCCATACTAACATTTGGAGCCATGCTAGGGCCTGTGTTGATAACCTGGTAAGAAGGAAAAAAAATGAAACTGTTAAATGTTTTCATAAATGTAAGTACAGATATAAATGAGCTCTTAGGCAAGCCCATCTGTTTCATGAAACATTTCTAGTGGTAGAGATTTGTAGTTGGCAGCTACACCACAAAGGGAGACAGAATGTTGACAGCGAGAACTTAAAAAAATTTGCTAAGAAGTACAACCTTTAGTCTTTACTCCCAGCTCTCTCCTTTTGCTATTAATTAGGACAGAATGTCCAGGCAGATGTTTTATTGTAGTCTAAAGAAAGAGACATCAACAGTGTACATTTGTATGGCACATTCTGTATCTAAAATGCCATGACCAATCGGTCCTCATCACTATCCCATCAGATGGGGCAACATTTAATTATTTGCCAGCTCAAAAAAAATGCTAAGAGGTGTTAGTCAACGATGCGCCCAAGATAAAAATGAAAAGAATTGGGACAAAACCCAGGTATTCTAATTTAAATCCTATGATGTTTTCACAAACCACTCTGTGCAGAGGGGATGTCAGCAGTAAGTGCATAAAATGTATTTTAATTCAGGATTATTATAGTGCTGATACACTCAGAAAACCACAAAGGGGTAGGTTATTCGGTTTTAGAAAAAATTCAATAGGTTTTTAAAGAATAATGCATAAGGGAGTGATATTTCATTATTGCTGATAAATTTGGGGATTGCAGATCCCTATAAAAGGAAATTGGGCCAAAATATTGCCGCCTGAGAGCTTCACTATAAAACCAATACAAAGTCAGAAATGAGATGTACCAAATACCTGGTTGAAACAGCATGACTCACAGACTTGCAATACTGTTTTGAATGCGTATGATATAAATGAAGAAAGTGTCTTTGGCTTTGGGACATATGGTAATTGCTCAGCCATGCAAGCCCGGGGCAGTTTCAAAGGCAGTGCCCAGACCTTGAGACAAGTTTTCCCAATGCCTGCAAATAATCATTCTAAACTACAATACCTTCCATCCTTATTTGCCGGGTAACATTTATACCTCCCAAGAATGTATTCATACTTACTCAGACTCACCAAACCTACAGGACTTCAAAATAGAGGGCTAAATTTTTTCAGTACTGCTGTGTGTTAGTATAACAAAAACGACTGTATGTAGACTCAATAGGATTTCAAGGTCATTCTTCTTCCACAGATCTGGGGCAGGGCCCAGGAATGTGCATTTTGGACAAGCACTCCAGGTGATTCTGATGCACATTTTGAAAAGCATTGCCTTACAAACTATCATGATGTACCGAAATCCAGACCCACACCCCGCAGATTGTTACATAGCTCTAAGGATATTTGGGCAGTACTTTTGGTTCAAAAAATATTTTTGTGGACATTATCTCCAATTATTTACTAATCATCAACATCCATGATGCACCAAAAATATCAGTTGATAGTAAATAAACATTTTAAGTTGTCTTTATATTAGTATACTAATATTTCTGGAAAATGACACTATACTTTTTAAAAAGATGATTGAATAAATGAGGCATCGCTTGCTACAGGTAACCTATCAATGGCTTGAAAGGCTGACCCCAGCAGACCTTAAATGGAGTTGACTTGACTTGGTCATTTTAGGGCTTTTAAATGCTTCAACTAAGATGAGAGTTCACTGATTTGCACCTAAACATGCCTTCCCTTGGCCTATCCTGTTTTTTTGTTTTGTTTTTTTTTCTAGGCATCTCTAGCAGATTCTCTTCCTCCCATAATTTTGCTAGCTTCAAGTGTTACCTCTGTTTCTACTAGCTCATTCCCACCTGTACCGTAATGAGATATGGGCTTGAGTAAGAGGGACAAGAACAGTGGGAGGAAAGGGCATGGGCACCCATGTGCCAGCTCCTTCCTTATCCTAACCAAACTGTGCTGGCCCAAGGCTGAGGGACATCACAGGGATACGACGTCCTCTCGAGCAATGCACCAGTCACAGTCTTTCAGTTTGTTACAAACATCAACACAACCAACTTTTCTTACGTGGAAAGTGAAGTTCATTTTCTCTGTCATGCACGTTTCGGGCTCATGGTCCTCCTTTGATCCATACACAAGTGAAGTTGGATTTATAAACCTAATAGAAACAAATTCACATTTAGTGTGTTTTTCAGTGTTACAGTCTCATTCATTCATTTATGAAGTATATATGGGATGTGTGCCAGGTGCCAGGCTGTGCTAGGTGCAAGGAGGCCAATATTCATAAGACACTTGGCCCACTCAAGATTTGTACAGTTTACTCGAACTTGGTTAGTGGTCTTTCTTTTGATGAGGTGTTATAAACAGTCTTCCTCTACAGTTTGGATTACAGCTTATCCCTTAAATATGCTATAATTTAGACAACAGGCACTTTCTTAAGCACAAATACTTTTGGTTTCTTGGTAAGATAGTAATTTTAGTAAAGATGTTAATGAAATTAGAAAGCCATGTGCTCTGACTTGGGTGACAGTATCTCTTTCCAACACTATGGCTCATTCTACTGATTTATGTAAATCTGGCAAATATGATATAAATTATTAGCCTTCCCCTATGACTTCAATATGCTCCTATACTTCAATCTACCTTACCTATTTTTTGAGCTATTTCTTCCCATCTCCTAATTCCTGCTGGCTATTTGTAGTGAACCCAGACCTGGGGAACAATTTGAGCAGCAATAAGTATGGCAAAATTTTTGTTAGAACACAAAGTTGTTGCCCTTTTACCTGTGATTATACATATGTACGGTCAGTAGTGAACTTTAAGAAATACTTTTCTAGGGAAATCCTGACTCCACAAGTTGCTTATATTTGGCAGCTGATATGATGCCCTGCAAATTAGGGACCCATTACACAGGAAAGAAATTAGAAATATTCAAATGTAGAGTAGGCAGGGTAATAGTTGCAGAATAGTCCTTGCTCAAAATAATAATATGTGGATATGAAAAAAAGGGAGGATGCTCATTACAGGAAAATGAAGGAGGGCAGGCAAGACACCATTCAAAACCAAGAAACGCGCAACTGCTTCTCTTTGCTTCCCACTGACTTTCGAGGTTCTCATCTTCCTCAGACGGCGGCCTTTATCCCCCTGCTTTTTATATTTCACAAACCTGTTACCCTATTTCATCAGTTTCAGACACTGATATGTTTATTTTTATATAATTCTATGCCATCCTATGGGTGGCTAAAAGTTATTGAGGATGGTTTATATTTAGAACAACAAAAACTCACTTGTCCATTTTATATTTATCTTCAATAGCTTTAAAATGTATTTTTAAACAAAGATTAATCATTTCCAATAAAATCATTAAAGGTTTTCTTAAGACTCCTTTCATTCTTTCTTCATACATGTCTTCCTTGCATCAGAATCAGAACCACATAAACAATTACTAAAATTATGAGGAATCAGTGACTATTGACTCTGGGACTGTGGGGTGAGGAACTCTGTGATTCACAGTTATTAAGAGCAGAAAAGAGCTGCAGACAGCTCTCTCCTACACAGGTTCTAGAGAGTAGTCGTTTGGTCAAGCTTGCGATTCTTGAAACTTCACACTTGTCACAGCCACTGAGTATGACCAAGCAAACTGCACTGTTCAACTCCCAGTAGCCCGGCCTGCCCTGGGGACCTACGGACACGTCCAGCACAAGGCTGGCCAGGCTCTTCCAGCAAGAAATCCCCTCCAGCTAGGCACTCGTGTGAGGTGGTCTCAGTGACAATTATATGATGGGGTAAAATAAGGAACAGCTGGGCAAGGAACTACACTGCTGCGGTAATTGTTAAGAGAGAAACAGCATCGAATCTTTAAGAAGTCTTTTCAATATGGTTTAGACTAATAATGGACACAGCTACAAGATTGAAAATGAGCTCTCCTCTCTAGAGGAGGCCCCAGCATCTACTTACCCGTGCACAGTGAGCATGACTTCATACCTCAGAGGTACTGCCAAAGTCACTTTGTTATGCTTCAGATGGTCCATCTCCCCTTCGTTTTTGCTACAGAAACAAACAGAAAATGCCCTGTTAGAATGCATCCGGCACAAACACCACCTTCAGTGAGAACTAGTTATATACCACGGATACCTTATAAACTTGGAGGTGGGTTTAAATAATGCTTTTTGGGGAGTGGGTATAAAAGTGGATGTGACAGACATTTTTATGTCTGTTGGCAGAAATTTGCTTTCATTATATACAGTTTTTTCCTCCTATGCTGGTTAAAGGTTTGTGTCTTAGATCATGTAAGAGAAGTTTTCTCCTGCAGACAATGGGACACGCCATGGTTTCCCGAAGGTCCCCTCCCAAAAATGTCAGGGGTCTGTTTCCTTCCGCACCATTATTTCTCACAGTGAAACCCACCAGGAGGCATGCACTGTGATGTTGAGATCCTCTTCTGCTCTGCTCAGGGAGCTCGCATCCAGCAGAAAGCTCACATCTACCTGCACACAGAGAAGGAAAGCGCATTTAAAGAACAATCTAGTACATGTTGATCATCTGAACTTGAATGTTTCTTAATAGTTTATACCCTGTGGGATGCCCAGCTGTCTAAACGATGTTCTAGAAACACAAGCTACCCCCCATTTGGACAGCGAGCTACAGGGAAGCTGTTGGGGTTTGTGGCGACTTGAAAGCACCAGCATTTCCACAAGTGACATTCAGAGACAAAGCCTCCTCCGAATGTAAAGACAGGCAGGTCCAGACGGACAGAATCAGAGATGCTTTAACAACTTGAGAGGGGACTCTTGCCAGAAACACCTCTCTGTATAGCAGAGGTAACATGCCTGGCAGATAGGACCACCTGGGGCATGGCGGGGGGAGTGTTGGGGAGGGGTGACACGGGAGTAGAATTCTGATCGACACATTCACGTACCCCCCACCTTTTACAGTGAACATTGCCAAGACTATAAACACAATCTCAAAGGTCTCAAGCCCAGTTGGTTTTGGTTTTATCACTTTAGCTATTTACCCTAAGCAAATAATAATAAATTATATATTTGTATGCATCATAAACATGGAAAAAATAGAAAAACTTTTGTATTAAAAATTATAAATGCTAAATGCTTACCCTTGAGAGATGATCTACAAATATATAACCAACATTACAGTCAATTTTTACTATGCCAGAGCTGTCTGTTACGTCACAGTTTATTTGCTTCTCTTCCTAAATAAACAAACAAAATCAGTTAGTTTAGGTAGAAAAGGGAACAAGAAGTTTGTAACCCATGTTTAAGGATGGCTTTTGAAAAAACATCCCCAAAGAATTTACTTTCCTAGACAACTATATTTGGAATAAACAGAAATGTAATCAAATGATATAATATGTACATATGTGTCTAGGTTTATTCTATCATTCATGTAAATTCTCCACAGAATAATTTCTGGACTTGAGGCTTTCATCCAGGTTTGTGTATCCCTATTTAATTCAAGGCCCAGTTCCTTGTAAAATCATGAGGCAGGAATCATAAGGTCTGTGTTTCACATCCCTCTTCTGTGTGGGATGTGAGAACGTGTTAAAGGTATATAATGCAATAACTGGAATCATCATAGTATAAATACACACACATACATATCCCAATATTCCAGGGAGATATACATCTCTGTATGTATTTGTACAGATATGTATTTCCCTGAATATTTGAGTTTTCCCTCTTACAGGTGCAAACAAGCTCTTATCGCCTTAGGGAAAGGGGGAATAGATTTTTGTGAGAGGTCAAAGGCCTCTCAAAATGCTCTTAATGTGAGGAAATGGTCTCTGGATAAGATCTGAGTAAGTTTGCTAAGGAAGAGGGAAGCATCAAAGGAGAAAGAAGTTGAGGCTTTTGTCTTTGAAATTTAAGCTTATTAATACCTCACTAGTGGATTTAAGTGCTCGCAACTGAGGCACGGAGGTAAGAAAAGATCTCCAGGTGCTTTGAACCCTTTCAGGGAAGGAAAAACTTGCCTAAAATCTGGTCAACACCAGAATTTTGGATTTGCGGCATGTTTAGAGGTCCTTTGGGAACAAGACTGGGTGTATGAGCTTCAAATGCAGAGGGGTGACTGGGAGTCCAGCAGGGAGGACCAGTATTGCTTGTGCAGGAATCCAACCAAGAGCAGCAGCATCAAGCACCAGGAAGACGTACTAGTGAGAAAAGCAATGTCTTGGATAACTAGGACATTGTTTCTGGGAAGCAGGAGGCTGACTTTTTTGATCTCGGATTCCAAGGAACTTGTCATTTTGATTAGGGGCATGAGAAAGTCTTAAAATTACTAGAAGCCAAAGGGGATGTCTAAAGAAATGCCAGCTATTTAGACCTCAAATTGATGAAGTGATTTATACCATTTACATCTTTAAAAAACTAAGCAAAATATCATGTAGTATCATGCTACTGTGGTTTTCAACACTTACCAGATCTAAAACCTTAATGAGGTAAAGGCCAGCGGGTAGTTTGATATGCAGGGTTGTTTCATACGCATCATCTCCAGCATTAAACAAGGACACATTCAACATTAATGTCTTCATACTTCCAACAGCGAGATAGGTTTTATTTTCGTATGGCCTAAAAATTAAGTACTATTATTTAGTTCTAATTTGGAAATAAAAATCCCATCTCTTCATTTATTTATCCCGAACATAAAATATTAATTTGAAAAAAACAATCAGAGGGAAATGACCACATGCAAGTAGATGCAAATCTATTTTGGAAAGAACTCAATTTCCCTTAGTTCAAATAAATTTGGTCATGTATTACTGGAGAAAAGTTTTTTTTAATTGGTTATAATTAAACTAGTCTGCTTTCTGTTATACTTTTTTTTTTTTTTTGCCTTCACTGGCTGTTTCTTTTTTAAAATAAATCTTTATTGTTGAAAGTATTACATATGTCCCCCTTCTGTCTTGCCCACTCCCCCCCCATTGACCTCCTCCAGCCCGCCCTGCCCCCGGCCTTCCTGATGCTATTGTCTGTGTCCATGGGTTATGCATATATGCATACAAAGTCTTTGGTTGATTACCTCCCACCCACCCACCTCCCCTGTCTTCCCTCTGAGATTCCGCACTCGGTAATACTTCTTTTCTGCTTAACTTCTTGGTTCTATACTTTTAACACATTTTCCTCATTATTGTGCAACATATTTCTAAAAGCAAAGTATGTTTTTCCTATCTTCCTTTATTCTTGAATAGACATTGAATTAGCTGCTGCCCAAACCGAAGGGGGGAGTGGGGGTAACTGGAAGAAAAGGAGAACGGAGAGTATTGCCACCAAAATACAACATGTTTTGGTGGAAGTGAGCACGGCCTGAGAAAGGACGGCTATTCTCAGCACGTGAATCCAACTGAGATCTGTAGAGTAGAATCCATTTCATAAGACAGGCTGGTCTCTTCTATGGATAATGAGACCAAATTAACAGACGTGTAGAAGTGCTTCACTGTGCTGTGACCTGGAAAGAGAAGATTGCCCCAAATCTAGACACGTGAGCGAGATCAACTTCTGGCTCTGGCCCCCGTTCTTCTGGAGGAGGGTGGTGTAATTAACATTTTTAAGCCTCAATCACGTCACCTGTAATAATAACTACTATTCATTGAAGATGTGGGTCATGGAATCCTCAGAGCAACACATTTATAGATGAGGAACTAGAGGCTTAAAGAACTTATTCAAGGTCTCTCACAGCTAAAAAGTTTCAAAGCAAATGCAAATCTCTTCGCTTACACAGCCCATTCTCTTTACCAATGAGAGACTGAGAAGAGCTGAATGCTAAAGAAGACTTTTGCTACACTATGATTCTATAAGCTTTCCTTAAAGACAGATGTCCCTAGATATCCAAGAATTTAGAAATAGTAGTTCAACCAGAGAAGGGTATGACCCAAAGCAAGAGACCAGATGACAATAATCATAACTACACAAAAGGTAAAATATTCACTTAGCACTTTAAAGTTTAGAAAGTTTCCTTAAGAAAGTAAGCATCTTCTATACTACATTCATGTGACCTGTACCCTGCATTCACAACTACTCAATTGACCAAGAAATTAATGGCAGCATCAATACTAAAGTGTAAAGTTTTGAGGAGTTAATTATTAATTCCCATGAACTTCAGAATGAAAACAAAATTGTAATTTGGGGCACATTTCTCCACTTTTATACCTTTAGTATAACTCTAAGAAATGGAACCGTTTACTTAATACCTACTAGTAAAAGGTCTTCCCCTCTTATCTTGATTTTTTCCTGTTTTAAACTTATCAAGGTAGAACATACACATAGCAAAATGCACATATTCCAAGTTGCAGCCCAATTAATTTTTACAGACTAAATACAGACATGAAACCAGCACACAGATAAAGAGAAAGGTATTACCAGTCTCATCAGAAATAAGCACTTCCCTCCAGTTACTTCCCCCACCTATTGCCTTGCTTTTACCAGTACAGACTGGCTTTGCCCACTTTTATATTTCACATCAGTGAATTCATAATGTATGTAATTTTTCTTTACTCAAATTTTAAATAATCAGGCCTTCTTAAAAGTTTGTTTGTAAAATTAATCTACATTGACTTGTGAATTGTTTATTCTCATTGATTATCTATATATGTATATATATATCCTATCTAATAAAAGACAAAAAGGGTAATTGACCATACCTTCGCTATGCTACCCATTGGCTAATCAGGGCGATATGCAAATTAACTGCCAACAAAGATGGCGGTTAATTTGCATACGTAGGCGCCAAGCAATGGAGCGAAGCTGGCTGGCCCCTGGCAGGAGCAGCGAGTGAAGGCCGGTGTGGCGAGTGAAGAGCAAAGAGGGAAGCCCCCTGCGCTGGCCTCCGCCACGCCCCCGGGGCCTGAGTGGGGCATGTGAAGAGCTAAGCCTCTCACCCGCCACACCGGCCCCTCCCGGCGAAGAGTGAAGGCCTGGGTTCCGGGCGCCGGAGGAAAACTGGTGCCAGCAGCCAGGGGAAGGGGCCCCTGAGCGGCCCCAGACTGCGAGAGGGCACAGGCCGGGCTGAGGGACCCACCTGAGTGCACAGATTTTTGTGCACCGGGCCTCTGTGATATATATATTCCATTTTGTAAATATACAACATTTTACTTATGCATTCACATTGTATTTATCCATTCAACTATCCAGCAATTTCTAGTTTGGCTCGATTACAGTCTCTTGGTGAACATATCTATGTAATTCTGTTGGGTCTCCCTAAGAGCAGACCCTTATGGTTTGTAACCCAGAATTAATTCCTTAAAATGCTACATCTTGGCTTATTTTAGCAACCAGCTTAAATTATACTAACTATATTTAAGTAACAAAATATACTATAAGGAACTATATTTAAGTAACCAAAAATAAAGATATGCTACAGAACTCTCATACAAAAAGCAAGCATACTATAGAGCAGGGGTTCAAAAACTGCCGCCAGAAGGCCCCGTTCAGACCTCTGCCTGGTTTGGTAAATAGCGGCTCCATGGAACACAGCCACGCTCGTTCATCTGTGGCCGCTTTTACACGACGGATGCCAGCAGAGTTGAGTAGCTGAGCGAGATCTCCATCCCACAAAGCCTAAAACAGCCACTATCTGTCCCTTTACGGAAAAAGTGTGCCAGCTTCTGCCATAGAGCAGTCTGATGGATAAGTGTCATTAATAAGCATACAAAATAATATCACTGTATTTAAAATCTATTCTGTGTTATTCTGACAACCATAGAGGCTCACTTCAAACAGCCTGGGATACAGGATTAGAGAAAATGCCTCTCTAGGCCTCACAGTTCCTTGGCTGGTCCTGGAGGCATCGAGGAGAAAGGAATGAAGAACGTGCCCACGTGCAGCCTCTCCAGCTCCTGACCCCTGGGTCCGAGAAGCTGGGAAGGATGTGCAATGACTGACAAAGCCGTCATTCTAAACCTTTTCAGGGTGGAACAATTTGACTCCGTGATGGCGTGTTTTAGAGCAGGGCGGTGATTCACCCATTCCTGTGTGGTAAACCGTGTTACATAAGCACGCATCTGCTTGGTGGCACCGTGCTAACGGGCAGAGAAGAAATGCGCAGGAACATGGCCGTCCTGCATTCCCCCACTGTTCTCTAATCACGTTACAACGGAGGGAGCCTGGGCGGTTCTAAAAGTGAACTTCAGCTTGACATTCAAGTTTAATTAAGACTTGAAGAGGAGCTGCCTAGAAATAGACGTTTGTAAAATATTCTGGCACGTAACCAAAGCATTAGTCACCGAACACCTTTGGGAAAGGAGCTGGCACTTAGACAAGCAACAGAAGGTGAAAGCATTGCATAAACAGCCAGGTTCCCAGACAACAGCAAATTAAAGAGAAACACAATGTTCACATTTCAGCAGCCAGACTCCTGGTTTAGTTTCCATTTTTAAGCTATTTTGTCACATAGTCATAATTACGATTCTACTCTTTTTGTTAAAATATACATCATACTGTATCTTGATTCGTTAACAAGGTGCCGTCGGAATGATACCCACCAGCTTTGTACGGGAGACATGACAAAGGACCAGGTGCGCATCTGCAAGTGCGACAAGGCTGCACCAGAGCTCTCCCCAGAAATCGGAGTTCATTTTTCATTAGAACACGCATAATGCAGACTTGAAATTTACCAAGCAGCCTAAAATCCATGGAATTTAAACAAATCAAGGTACTGTGTACATAGAGAATCACAACTTAATAAGTGAGAGAGGAAAAATAGGAAAATGATGTATTTTAGCACCAAGCACTATGTTTTTATTGAGTGAATGACATTGTTTTATTTTGCAAGAAATGCTCCCCAAGTCTTAGTCTAATGAATGTACTTTGCCTAGATAACACAAATTAGTGCCTTCCCGGCTAACTTTTTTTAAGATGGTAGGATAAAGTATAATGTAAGCTGATATGTACCTGTGTCAAGATGCATGAGTCACTTATTTGACAACATGTAGCCTGCTGCAGGTGGCTTGTAGGTCCAAGTAAAGACAACTATTTTTTAAAATTTTACTGACTTCAGGGGGAAAAATACTGGAAAATTCTTGTTTATTGGAATATATCAGTTACCCAACATTTAAGAAGATTTTATTGAATAAAGGCAAATTCATTGAAGTCTAGAGGAGTACAGCTGGCTGCACTGGATTAGAAGATTGAACTAGGAAATAGCATGTTTTCGTGTACAAAGCATATAATTCATCTTCCCCAACCTCTGTGAGGCACACAGGGGTGGATAAAGGGAGGCTTACAGTTGTGAGTACATGAAACACAGAGTTAATAAAGCTATCGTAACAGTCATATCCTGCATGCCTTTTTCTATACGAACAACTGTAGACCTACTTTTGCCCACCCTGTATATTCCTACTCTCTCCATTTCAAAAATGGACACGTTTGTTAGACTAGCTCTTTCAGCTTCATGGCTGATGTTGACAACTGTCTGCTGTCTAGTCAACAGATTGCCCTATTTAGCGGTTGACAGACCCAGCATTGGGCAGCATTCCCTCGATACCGCAGACGACAAGCCCCTAGTTCACCTTCAGGGAATGAATTATGATCGCACTAATCTGATCACAATGACTCCACGATGGGCCCAGGGTTGAGTGTGTGATACAGGTCTGGCTGATCAGAATAAGTCGGCTCAGGCACTGCCCTTCCTGGAAAGGCAGCTTCAAGAGGACACGGAATTTTGCTCTTGTCCCTTTTTTTCTTGCTGGGAACCTTGGTGCTGCTGCAGCCATCTAGTGACCGCGAGGGAAAAGCCAAGAGAACTGGGAAGATAACCAGGAATGTTCAGGGTTTGGGAGGTGCTCACTAACCCTGCTACAATAATTAAATGCCTTTATTTAAAAGCCCCTATTGCTCAAGTATTCTGTTCCTTGCAGTTAAAGGCATTCCTAAAGGGTGTGAAAGCCATTGTTTCACTCGCGCGGGACGCGTGACTGAGGAACAGAAGAGAACTAGCATTTACGTCAGAATCTATATGCAGGACTTGATTTCAAACTACCTCTGTGATGACTAACACCGGCTGTTATATTTGTAATCGTGATAGTCATATTTGTTCATCTTCGTTTTGCAGTCAGTAAGTCCACTTGAATATGATTTATTCTCCTGAGAGTGTAGTCAGTCAGGAGAAAGCCTCAACTTAATGAAAACACTAAGCACTATTTAGTTTGCTGTTGGCAGTCTATTACTGCAGCCTTCAGCCACGCATGTTCTTTACCGAGTAAATGCGTTTACCTAAAGCGGGTGTGTAGCTCTGGGGCACATAAATACCGTTAGTGCCAGTAGAGTTATGGGCAGGAGAATGCATAGAACATATGGTCACAATTTGCCTACTATTACAGAGAAGGGAGATGGAACACCTAAGTGAGACAGGCATCCATTTGTCTGATAGAGTATAATTTACTAAAGATGCAAAACAGTTTGTCAGAATCTTTTACTGTAGGCCTAAAAAAATTGATTAGAAGAGTTTTCATAAGAGAATTTCTTAAATAAGTTATCATTTCCCAAGTAGAAATCACCTGGAACTCTCCTAATTGATGCAAATGATGCAGGGCTTATAGTTCACACCGGCATTCCTGCCACTTCAAATCTCATAAAACTGAAAACTACTGACCCAGTCATAGTCAGCAGCATTCTGGGGACATAAGAGACAAACTCTGGACAAATAACTAGTATATATATATATATATATATATATATATATATATATATACAGAAAATGTTTAGACTTCAATGGCAACATTCCATTTTATGGCCAAACTAAAACTTTATTATAATCTATAAGTATTCTAACTGTAATTTATCAAAAATAACTTTTATGAAAGCTTCATGCATAGCAGGTTTTGTGCTATGCACCTGGGCCTGCATTACTGCCTTATTTATCTTTAAAACACCTTTCACAGAGTAGGGACTATTTTACCTCCTTATCAAGAAAGAGGTTTATAGAGTTTGAAAGGCTTCTCTACAGCTAGCAGAGGGTAGATACAGAACTTGAACCAGGTTTGATTTCAAACCTGAAACTCTCCATCACCACTACCACATTGGTTCTCAGATCTTAGTATAATAAGAAACCCTTGGAGCCCCTTTAATAAACAACATTTCTGGCCTGGTCCCCATCGCTTCTAATTTGGATGGTCTGGTGGTCTAGGAAACCTGCATTTCTAAGTGATTCTCGTAAAAGTGACTCAAAGGCCACAGCTTGAGAAACATGGCTGTACCCTCAGTTGCCTGCCATTTAAAATTATAATGGACTTGATATTTAGATGTTAAGAAATAGTATCATTTCAAATTAATGATGCAAATTAACCATAATGTAATAGCTTATTGTGAAAAAATACATAATGAATAAAAAATAACAATTTGGTTATATTAATATTTGACCTCTTAATTCAAGATGTATTTTCATTATTCCGAAAAGAAGCATTCTTGGTAAATTTTTGTACAAATTTTAATGTCCCATTTTCTAATAGGTCAGAGGGATTGCAATGAAAGATGACAAAGGTGACAGTGGGAGTTTCTGATTTAAGAAAATAAAACCCTACTATTTGTAGCTGAGATAAGCTTTCCCATACACAACTCTACTTATCAAAGGCCCATGGCAGCAAAACACTAAGAACACTAAACATTTTAGGAAGAAAATAAATACACAAATGGGAAGGTTATACATTTTTCAGCTAATACTTCAACAAAGGCACCACACTACATGCTGGGATGCAAAGTAGTTAGTAGTCACTGTTTTTGGACTAGAAGAACAGCCAATCTGGATAATTAAGTATAAAGTCCAATTATTCATCAAATAGGTTAGGGCTTCTTGGCCCTCAATTGTGGATGCTCAAGGCTATACTGGCATTGCTTAAGTGAAAAGAATTAATTTATTCTCTGCCATATGTGTTCCTACCCAGCAGGATACTCAACACTGTTTCTGAACCTTTTCACTCATTCCTAGTTGACTTCTTATCCCATTTATCATAACAGCTATTTTGAGCTTTTCCCCCCATGCCTTTCACGTTCCCAAATCTATCCTAAAGACCCCCACTTTCCATAGATGAGCCTACTTTTTTGTATTCTGGCCATCCATGAATTCTCTACATTTTATTTCCTTCCACACTGAGTTTCTTAATCAATGTCAAACATCTTTTCATACCTGTTCAGCTCAAGACAAGGACAATTTTAATTTCTTCCTAAAGCTAACTCCTCCACTTGAGTCGATCTCATTATATACTGTTGTTTTTTTAGAACCTTGTTCCATTCTCAGCAAACTCCTATTAGTCACTGACAGTGTTCCAGATATTGTTTTGGGCAAAGTCAACACAAAGATGAAAGGACAGGAACCTGCCTTGAAGCAGCTTCCAGGATGGCGTGGAGACAGACAGTAATGGTAGTGAGTGGCAAGTGCAGTGGGACTAGGGGCACAGGAGGACTTAGGTTTATGTACCTGGAGACAAAAGGGACTTCACCTAGGAAACAGCTGAGATTTTCAAGATAAATAAAAATTAACCAAGTAGATACGTTGGAGAAGTGAAACCAAGAAGTGAAACCATTCAGAGTTCAGGAGAGCATGGTGTGGCCAAGCAACTCTAAGTCCCAGGGAGTTGGTGAGAAAACAGTAAGGAGGTTAGAGTTTAGGTTATAATGAACCAGTGAAGCACTGTTATCAGAGGTGTATGTGAGAAAGCTCACTCTGGAAACATCATGGTAGAGGGATTAAAATAATGTTAAAATAGGAGACCAGCAGTTGAGAAAGCAGGAAAGCCTGTGAGCTATGTAGAATATTCAAAGCTTGGCATGAAGCAATAGTAGTAGAGGCAGAGAATTATGATGAAAAAAACAAAAAAACAAACAAACCACCAATAACATCTATGTGGTTATTATAGGACTTACTAACTTAATGAATAGTAGGGTTAAGAAAGGGGGAAGAATGCAGATTGAGCTACAGAGGACATGCCCAATAGACAACTGGATGTGTGGGTGTGGAACTCAGAGACACTGATTTGGGCATTCGCAGTGTAGGCAGACCAGATGAGGTCACAGTTGTAGGTAAGATAGCCAGGGAAAATATGGGAGTGTGAGAAAGGGGTGAGAAAACCATTGGGGAATCAATAGAGCCAAAATCAAATATCTCCAAAGACAATTGAGGAGAGGCTAGAAAAGGAGAAGGGAGTAGGGTGTCATCATGGAAATTAAAGCAAAAGACATTCAAAGGAGGAAGTGAAAAGCTGTTAAATGCTTCAGAGAGTTCAAATAGGTACAAAAAGTGCCCCCCTGGATTTAAGTAGAAAAATTCTCCAATTTCTTTCTTTCCCTGCCTCTGCATGATGAAATAACATGAGAAAGCCACTTGTTCCTAGTATATTTTCTTCCCTAAGCACTTACCCTGTCATTCAGCTACTACTGCACTGAAATTTCCATCTTACAAATTGCCAGTGATATTTTTTCCACAAGTCACATTTTAAATGCCAACTCCCATGAGCTTTCTCAGTCATTATGCTATCTGGTCTCTCCACAAAATTTTACAATATGAAGTCCCTCTTTTTATATTGGCTATTTCACAGTGCACTCCGTTTTCCTCTCAGTTCTCTTCAGTCTCCTACAGGGACTCTCTATTTGTGTTAAGCTCTTTAAATAAAACTGTCCCCCCAAGAGTTAATCTTCAGTTCTTTCTCTGTGAAGTGCACATTTCACCTCCTCCACCCCCAAGCATTCTCACAAGTCAGGAATGTGTAGAGCACTTCACAGTATTCCCGGAGAGCTGAAGTCCCACCAAATTCAACATGCCCCCATTAAATGTGCTGCCTTTGTAGACTTACCTCCCAATATAATTTCCCATTTTTTCTGTCCTGTCACTGATGCCTCTTTCTCCTCCTTCATTTCCCATACATCGTCATCCCTCAACCTGCGCCGTGCATTCTATCCCTGATCCTCATTTTCATGTCTGCCCTCTGATATGCAAAATAATTTCAACATAGGGGATCTAACATGACAAAATTATAATGGTTTATTTCCCATAATAAAATAATGACAGCAGTCAACATTTATCTAGTGTTCTCTACATGTTAGCTACTATTCTAAGCACATTGCATAAGTTTTCTTCTGACTGTTTCCCCTTCTGTGAATTTAGAAGAACAAGATGGTTTATTCCCTCTCAAAGGTGTCCTATATATTTAGGAATTTCTTTGTTTTATATACCAGTCTGAATTATGTAATCATTTTTCTGAGTGACACAAAACTAAGAAGCATCATGTAGTGAAGGTTAGCTCATTTTGCCATCAAAACTCTAGTAGTAAGAGGCACTGACAAATGTCTAAAACACAACTAAAATTCTAATGCGGATGACTTGACCACAGTCAAATCCTAAACTATCTCTTTAGTTACCTACAAAAGATTAAGACATGCTTCATAAAGCCTTGGTGTTCACATATTCTTGTTCTTTCGAAAAGTGATAATCTCTCTCAGTTGGATCTTGTTCTTTTCCAGTTCTTTACATGCTGCTAACCCCCAAGTATTAGTTCTTAGGCATTTACTCTTTGAAAATCACATGCACACCCATGATCCCATCTTGATGAATAACAAAGAGTAAACTAGACTTACTTCAAAAATCCAATTTTCCCAGACACTTGTAAATCAGCAGAACAATTTTCATGGGCACAAAACCTTGCAAAGTTTATCTGGAAATAAAATATGACAGTATTTTATTGTTAGTTCAGTTAGTAGGCATATTTCTGTTTTTTTTTAAAGACAGACATCTATGATACATGAGAAGAATAAAATTAATCAGATTGATAACTCGTTTTATCATTTTATGAGGAGTTCGATATGAGAATTAGTAGGTTTAAATGAAAAATAATTATTGGGCTAAAAGAACAAAGTTCTTCTAATAGGCAAATTTAAAACCTAAATGTGTTAGGTGGGAAAAAGGATGTTTTTCTTTCATAATAGTTGTAAGAAAAATTTTAAACCAAACTTTGGTGGTAACCTATGTAAGTATTTAAAACCCATGCTGCCGAGATGTTCTTTGTCAGGTTCCTCTCAATTTCCTGATGCTTTGATTCCACTTACTATGTATGAGCCTGGCACTTAATTTTGCAGCGATTTTATGTTTGTTGAAAACAACGAATTGTAGAAATTTAGAAATTTCACTTTAAGAACACACTGAACAAAAGTAAATGATAGCATATCATACCTCTGAGCGTGTTAATAGGACCAGGAGATACTATAAGGTACACGGAAGACCCGAGTTTAAAAAGTTAGACAAAGAGAAAACATGGAAAGAGCAGGGAGGGGTGGGGGGAAGAAAAATGAGAGGCAAAGGTGAAAAACAATGAGATGCAGAAAAGAAAGAAATCTGGAAACTCAGAGAAATGAGCCAGGTACATGAAATGGCAAAGGACTAGAGTGTTGTCAAATTGCATGTCAGATCACAGACTGCCTGTACAGGGGGAGCACAAGGAGAGTGTCAATCTTTCTCTAAATGATTAGGTAAATACGATTTTTTCTATCACTTATTTATAAAACAGGTTGTTCTAAGAGTCAAAATGTTAATTATTATAACTACAAACTGTTTAGGTTTTGGCTTGTGCACTTACAATAAAACGCATTTAAAGGTACTTGCTATTGAAAAGTGAAGTCAAACAGAAGACTGAAAAAACTAACTTCCAGAAATGTTTTTATATATGGGTATAAAGAAAATTTGCTCTTAAGCTATTATCTTTATTCAATCTAATATTGGAGACTAGACATTGGTGATTGTAAGCTCAAATATCAAAGTGACTTAGGGCAATTTTGTTGGGACAGGAAATGAACTAGACCTTAAAACGTCCCTTTTTAAAAAATATATATATTTTATTGATTTTTTTACAGAGAGAAAGGGAGAGGGGGATAAAGAGTTAGAAACATCGATGAGAGAGAAACATCAATCAGCTGCCTCTTGCACACCCCCTACTGGTGTTGTGCCCGCAACCAAGGTACATGCCCTTGACCGGAATCGAACCTGGGACCCTTCAGTCCGCAGGCTGTGAAACGTCTCTTTTATCTTTTACATTCTGTGTGCCATTAGCGAACATTTTAATGAATGTTTTTACCATGTCCCCAAACACCCTGTTGACTATGTCTTTGTGTCGTCGGATAGAAAAGTTAGGAACAACTGGACTCCCAGAAACAAACACTCAGTCAGTGAATCTGATGTATTTTGAGATAAACTGGAAAAAGCAGTTCACTGGTTAGAATGCAGGATCCATCCCAAAATGCAGTCAGTGCTGGAATGGGGCTGGAAAGCAGCTAAATTTTAAAAGAGAAACTATTGTGTAACATAAATACATATGCCTATAAATGAGTAAAACCTAGCAAGGGAATTAGACTAATAAAGACATGAGTGATTCATGGGTGGGGTGAGTGAGAGGGAGACACAAATGAGAGAGAAGAGACAGAAAAAGAGAAAGATAAACTAAACACACATGATGACACAGAATAACCAACTCATGAACGCAACTCACTCCCACTATGAGTGCTCTCTAGTAATATACTTTCTTTCCTGGCAAGACATCAAGAGAGAAAATTAACATTTTATGTAGTATACTAGAGACCTGATGCATGAAAGTCATGTACTTGGGGTGGGGGGCGCTCATCCTTCAGCCCAGCCTGCACCCTCTTGCAGTCCGGGAGCCCTCGGGGGATGTCCGACTGCTGGCTTAGGCCCGCTCCACCACTGCTGCTCTTGCTTCTGGCTGAGCAGTGCTCCTGCTGTGGGAGTGCACTGAGCACCAGGGGACAGCTCCTCTATTGAGGTCTGACCCCTGGTGGTCAGTGTGCGTCATAGCGACCAGTCATTCTGCTGGTTGATTTGCATATTAGCCCTTTATTAGATAGGATGAGAAACCACTGCTATGACTAAATGCACATTTTAAAATATCCAGTTCAATATCCTGAAGGAAATGTAAAAAATAAAAATGAAAATGAAAATGAAAAACAAGACATACCATAAATCTTTTTATACAAGTTTTATACAATTTAAAAAAAATTAGAGTTCATTTTCCTAGAATTATGTAATACTTCAAAAAAACAATTTTTAGTTACATGTCACAATTTTTGAATAAAAGAAAATATTCTTACTGTTTTTTCAATTATGTCTTTTTCTTTCTTCTGCTGAAGAATTGGCTGGAGTGGTGGGAATTCCTTTATACTTCGTTTACTGGTGATATTATGCCCAAGGTGGTAAGCAGCTACAATCTGAATTGGATTGAGGATGTCTCGCACATCTTTCTAAGGAAATTTAAAACCATATGAATTAAAAATAAAGAGAAGAATGTAAATTTAAAAAATAGCTCTTCCTTTCTTGCATAAGGCCAAACACAACACATGGAAGTAAAAAAAATCTTATCTTTTAATCTAAATTATTTTTAAAAAATGTGAATGTCTATGTTTTTCACATTACAAAAACATTCATGTGTTTAGGAAAAAAAACCAAAAATAGCATAAAAATAAAAAACTATAACCATCTAACAATATATAAAGGTCTACATTGAGCATATTTTCTTCCATGGTATTTTCTATGCATACTTTTTATAACTTGACTTTATAACATAGCATTTTTCATTATAAACTCATTGTAGATCATTTCAAAGTACTAATGAACATTTTATTCTATTTAACATTGCCCTCTAATAGAATTGTAAAAATATAGTCTCTCAATTTATTCAAGTTTTCCTTTTAGATCTTTCAGTGTATTTTTACATAATTTGATTCATTTGCTTTGATATTTATTATGAAACATATCCTTTTATGGATCTTTCCAATTATCCTTTCTAACGGCAAAGTTGCTTGTTTTTTATATTCAATATTTTATCCTATTCACTGAACTGAATCTTTTTGCTAGTTGTTTTATAACTTTTCTAGTATTATTGTTTTCACACTTGACAAGAAAAGAACTCTTGAGTTTATTTATCAATTACACAGAAATTGTAGCCCATTTGGAATCCATTATATTCTGTATGCATTCTTATAAAGTTAGTATCTTACTAATTTTTAGTTGTAATTGACAGCCTTTCTAGTGAGTAATGCAATGGGCGAGTTTTCTATTTATCTATAGATACCCCAGGATAGGAATATGACTTAAATATCACTGTCTAAAAGCAAAAGCAAAAGCAAAAGCAAAACCAAACAAAAAGTAAAATAACTAAAAAACAAAAAACAAATTATTTTCAAAGCTCATAAATTAATAATCTCTAATGGATAATAAAACAACACCCTATCATACTGATTAATGTTGTACTAATTACATCTATAGTAACTTGACACCATCAATGAAAAGGAATACACATATCACATGGAAAACTACATCTATCGTATGTCTTTATGTAATGATAAAAAAAACTACATCTATTCTATGTCTTTATGTAATTTTTCCTCTTTCTCACTAGTCAGGACATTATCAATATATGGAGGGAGGGAGAGAAGGAGAAAAAGAGAAACAGCAATAAAAACATGAAAAGCAAGTGGTCTAGAGGCAGACTACTGGGGTTCAATCTCAGGTTTATCACTTATTATCTACGTAACCTTAGGCAAATTACTTAATCTCTCTGTGGCTCAGCTACCTCATTTGAAAATGGGAATAACAATAATGATGATAGTGATGATACCTACACCTTGTTGTTGTAAGGATTCAATGGTATAATGTACATAAAACACTGAGCACAATACCTGGCAGTTATTAAGGTGTCAACAGAGGTTAGACATTATCTATGTGCACGTTGCTTTCAAAATGTAGCTATATAAGCCAACAAGGACTTCCTGAATTTTAATTTCTTATAATAGGAAATTCTGGTAAACATTTAGAAGGAATAAGAAAAAAAGAAAATTAGATTACTGACAACCAATAAACATTAAAAAGAAAATGAGTTACATAACAAGTATTAGACTTGCATTAATTAAGTGGTTCCTGGAAGATTTGGAGCATGAATCAGAGTACTTAAGAGCTCTCATTACTTTTCTAATCTTATACATGGCGATGATTTTATTAAGTGATCATCTCGACATGAAATCTTGACCATATAGGAATGCTGCAAATCAAGGCCCAAATCCCAAGTTCTCAACTTGTGAAAATGGAACAGCTTGAAGCCCTGAGTATTACAATAGCAAACTTGATTAAATTATCCCTGAGGTGTAGGAGCTAGACAGCCACTGATTGCCCCTCCACATGTCCACTGTTTTAATTTTTCTCAACAAGCTTACTTTGACCAAATCACATGTTACCTAATTCATACTAATTTTCCACAAGGTCTTCTCTACATCTGGTGTATATTACTTTCATTATCCTAATTAGCTATTAATTATGCTTTTCTCACAATATATAAAATGTACATGTACTCTTGCAAGAACTGTACTTGACAGACATTCACACTTATTTAACTTTAACAGCTCTGCCTAAGGACAAATGCTATAATATCAAAAATGTCTTAAAGTGACTATTTAGAAGGAAAAACGGAGATTTGCTTAAAATTTTTAATTTGGATGGGTATGTGCTATCTCTACCAAAAATAATGAAGATTCCATGCCACATTTTTATGGACAATTTCATAAAATAGGGCACCCACAAGCATGCAAATGACCACATGCTTGAAATTATACAAAGTCCTCCTCCTTATTTGACTTTCATGAACATTTGTATCTATGCCCAACTTAAAAACTGAGCTGTAGGCCCATGCCCTCCTATTGTGTTTATGTAGTGAAGGAATTTATTTAAAGGGGCCAGAAATATCTATAAAATATTACTTAATGAAAAATGACATTGAGGTATCAGCATTTGAAGATATCTATTCATAAGATCTTCTGTGCACAACACAGGCTTTGAGGACATAAAACTGAAAGGCAATTCCTATGTCACAGTCTATAACCTGTAAATCCACACAGTATGGGAGATGAGTGTGGTGACATATGCATACACAAGTACAGAAGAAGGAGGGCCACCCAATCTATACTTGAAAGTGGATAGGAAGGTTCTTACACAGAAGAATTTTGAGCAAGAATATGATCAAGTTTTTGGTTTGAGGTTTTTAAATTTATTTTTATTACTATTTTTAATTCTCACCCGAGAATATTTTTCCATTGATTTTTAGAGAGAGTGGAAGACAGAGGGAAAGACAGAGAGAAACATCAATGTGAGAGAAACACATTGATTGGTTGCCTCCTGCTCGATCCCCGACCAGGGCCCGGGCTGGGGAAGAGCCTGCAACCCTGCAACTGAGCCAGAATCGAACATGGGACCCTCTGTCCACAGGCCAATGCTCTATCCACTGAGCCAAACTGGCTAGGGTGGTGTGAGGTTTGTTTTCTTTTTTTATATTTTTTAAATTAATTTCAGAAAGGAAGGGAGTGGGAGAGAGAGATAAAAACATAAATGATGAGAGAATCATTGATGGGCTACCTTTTGCACACCCCTTACTGGGGATCGAGCCCACAACCCGAGCGTATGCCTTTGACAGGAATCGAACCTGGGACCCTTCAGTCCACAGGCTGATGCTATATCTATGGAGCCAAATGGGCTAGGGGTTGAGTTTTTTTTTTAAATGCTCCTCTAGTACTAATGTTGGTAAAAGGTTGGAGAGGGAAAAGGTAAAACTGAGGCATAGATTGGAACCTAAGCCAGTAAGACCATGTGTAATTATAATCACTTTATCTAGTAAGGTTGAATCAGGAGGCAGAAAACTATCAAACATCCAGCACTACAATTTCCTGAAAAAACAAAACAACATCCACAACACAGTTGTCCTAACCATTTTATCAGTAGAACATGCTCAGGTTTTCCCTCACAGAATTCTTTAAATAGCACACAGAAGACATTACCCATATATTGATCAAATATTGATTTTCTGCCTTATGTAATGTGTTAGTTCTAAAAGGAATACAAACACGCATAAGATAACATTATGTTTTCAAAGACCTTACAATCTATCAAAGAATAATATATGCTGGGATAATCAATTCACTTCTAGAATAGTATAATGTGAGTATAGTTATATAGGTTGCTTGCACTTAAATTTTGAACAGAAATGTATGCATATACGGATTGGTCCATAGTGTGCTGTGCTTAAAATATAACTGTTTTGGAGCAAATGGCACTTCATTAAACTATGTGCTTATATAAGCAAATATAATATGTAAAATACAAATTAAAAATAAATCAAATCAAATACTCATTCATTTCCTTGACATTATTATCGAACAAGATGGGCTTTAGAAATCACCCACAGAGCTACATAACAAAATTCCTTTATTTCAGAAATTTAAAAATCTAGAAATTAGGAAAAATAAGGGAAAGAGAAGAATGAACGAATTCACTAAACAGGTAGTAGGTAGGTTGATTTAATTTTTACAGAACATGCTAATGCCACTGTACGCATTGGCTCTCTGGATACCCATAGGCATTCCTGGTCTGACTAAGCTACCTATTTCTAGTTTTTATTGGAAATACTACGTTGGCAGGAAGTGAATCCTGTTACTTCCTTGTTATCCCAATGTAGCACCCTTTTACTCCTCTCAAACATCAATCAATATTTTGATGCAGAGATTCCATCAAATTCAATGAAGAAATGCCATCTAGGAAAACCTCAAGGGGCATTTCACTTCCATGGCTGCTCCAATACTTCCAAAAATTGCTGCAATTATCCCTCAGGTTTCTCTAAATCAAAACAATCTAAAAAATCATCCCTTGTCCTAATACATCTTTAAGATCTAATAAAGTTGTATATTTGAACACAGCAAAGACAAAAACTCATTTCATATATTTATATGGATGGGAAAACATTTTCATTGAGGGAAAAGAGATCTCTAGTAGAAGAGAATTTCAGTAGATAAAACACTTGAAGGTATAAAAATGAATCATTTCTCTAATATCACAGAAACTTTTTATGAACTCTCAACTTAACTTCTAGGTTCTACTTTCCTAAAAATCAAATTTTATGGCTCTAGAAGCAAAAAATTAAAGCTTGGCATAATTATAAGCCACTGAAACACAGTAGAGTTTTGCAAGAGAAAAATAAACAATTTCTGCCCTCTTTTCTGTTTTTTTTGAGGAACAAATTTTGACCATACAAATAAAACAATCCTATGTGCTGTTTTATTTATGATTAGGTTAAGTAGACGTTAGGAAACTGGTGTGCTTACCAACCAGATAAATGACCATAGTCTCAGAAACTAGAGAATGTGTGATTGAAAGAAAAAGATATAATGAAGCCCAACTTTTATGAGATTTTGGATTTTAAATAAATTATCTACCATCAAAGAATGTGATGGGTTTTATAAATGCAGGCAGGCTGAAAGACTCATTTACACGATATAACCAGGAATTGTGACCAAGAATAAAATAAAAATTCAATCTTTTCTTCAACTTTAGGTCCCTAATGGCTGTTAACGTAATATTGGTGATATCTTTCCAGCTTATTCTCTTTAAAACACAATTCCAACAATTTGCTGATCCCACTGGAACCTCCAATTTAACTTAGTTCCCTGTTCCTCACCCTCTGATGTCCTCCCCTCTCCTCACTATCCTTAAACTTTATGATGAACACTCCCTTGCATACTTCCTTGACTCTTTGGCCCCTTTGTTTTACTTCTTTGACAAACCATTCCTTGGTTAATTGTTACTGTTTCATCTACTTTCACCTGTAAGATTGAATGTGACTGGAAAAAACCCATCACCATCCGACTCATCTCACTTTATGACCATGGGTACAAGTTAGACACTAATACCATCTCACAACCATTCTGTACTTATTCTCCCACTCTCACAAAGACTATATCATATCTTCTTCCCATCTCTTGCCTTCTCAAGATATTTGCTCTAACTGTTCTCTCCTCTTGTCTACATCATAAATGTTACACTCTATTGGGACATACCCATCATTATAAAAACATGCTATGTCTTCTATCTTAAAAAAAAAGAACTCTTCATTCCACTTCTCATGTTAGCTACTAACTCCCAACCCCATTTCTTTGGTCCAGGTGGAGCAAAACTTTGTGAAAAATTACCTGTACTCTCTGTCTCAAATTCTTCTCCCTTCTCCCTGCTACTCTTCTGAAGTGCGGTTGCCACAGTCACCAATAGCCTCCACATTGCTAACCCAATGCCCAGTTCTCAGCCCTCATCTGATTCACCAAGCAGCAGCTTTGAAAACACTGTCATGCCCTCCTCTTTGCTCTTCTTTTTTTTCACTTCACTTGCAGGATGTGACAGATCTTGCTTTTTCCCCCCTTTCTTACTTCTCATCTCCTTTGAAAGCATTCTCCTCTTTAATCTCTTCATGCGGTAGTGCCCTAGTGTCAGACCTCCACCCTCTTCTCTTCCTGTGGTGGCCTCAGCCATCTCATATGGCTTTAAAAACCATCCATATGCCAAAGGTACATTAAGCTATATTTCCAGTTCTATGCCTCTTCCCAACCCCAGATGAGTGTGTACAAATGTTTAATTGATATTTACTCTTGTAAGCAACACAGTTCTCTCCAACCCAGCAGGTCCACACTCAACTCCAGAATTTTCCACCCAACACTTGTTTCCTTGCATCTTATCTCCAGTGATGAAAACTACATTCTTCTAGTGGCTTTGGCTAAGACCTTAGAGTCACCTCAGAGCCCGTTTTCAAAAGCCAGACATCCCATCTGTCAGCAAACTGTGTAGGATATTTCTTCAACTACCTCTGACCATATTTATTGCCACCACCTTTGATGAAGCCATCACTTCTCACCTGGGTTATTGCTGTAGCCTCTTCTCTCTGTTTCAGCTCTTGGTCCCCTACTGTCTAGTCTCAACACAGCAGTTAGAGTACACATTCCTTTTTATTACTGAGCCAGGTAGATCCTCATTTCATTCAGGGAAAATGTCACAGGTCCTATATGATCTCTTTTTCCACTACTCTTCCCTTAGCTCACTTTTCCAGTCATCCTTGCCTCTCCATTGTTTTTTAAAACAACCAGGTGCATTCTTGTCTTGAGACATTTTTACCGAGCTCTCCCTTCTGTAATGGTCTTCTCTTAGACCAGGGGTTCTCAAAGTGTGGTTCCCAAGTCAGCAGCAGCAGCATCACCTGGGAACTTTGTAGAATTGCAAATCCTCAGGCCTCACTGAAGATCTATTGGATCACGAACTCCAGCAATTTGTGTTTTAACAAGCCCTCCAGGTGATGCTGTTGTTACTTGCTAAAGTTCAGAACCACTGTCCTAGACACCTACACAGTAACTTCCTCACTTCCTTCAAGTCTTTCCTCAAACATCACCTTCTGAATGAGGCCTATTTAAAATTGTACTCTTCACTCCTTCCATAAAACTCCATAATGTTTTGAACTCTGCCCTCTTTTCCATCACCCATATCGTCTTCTAAAATACTATACAATTTACATTTTGACCATGTTATTGTTTCTCTCACCCTCACAAGACTACAAGCTCTCTGAGGGTAGTAATCATTTTATATTTCATTAAGTGATCACAAGTGTCTCAAACACAACCTGACATGCATTCACAACTCACTAAATATCTTCTGAATTGATTGAGTGGATGGATAAGTGGAACTTCCTTGGTATAGCCAAAGGAAACAATTATACAAGGAACGTGTACCTAACTAGTAAGTTAGGAGTCCTCTGAGAGGAGGGGTCTGTGGGCCTGAGTAAATAATTAACAAGCAACACCTCGTTTCACCGTGAGGGTGCCACGGTAGGACGCACATGTATATTAACACTGCTGACACTGGGCATGTTTTACAGAGCAAAGGAACAACCTAAGCATCCTGACTGGTGTTCATTTTCTTTTTCTCTACTATTAGGAAAATATCTTGGCAGAATTCTGGTTGTGGTTCTATTCATCCAGACGGTAGAAGCACAGCCACGTTAACGTTGCTGAATGCCTCCCATCAGGTGCCATGCTGTTGGGGTGAAAAGGCACTCACTGCATCACTACCCTTTCCTAAACAACAGCTAGTGCTCCCTGACGGAGGTGGGGAAGCTGCTTCTGTGGTTCTTACCTCCTCCCTGGGTTGTGGCGGGAGGGTCACAGTACCCTTTTGCCTTTTTATATCCGAGTATTAAAATGTCCCAAACAAAAGCAAGAAAATTTAGGAAGGGGGGAAAAAAAAAACACAATAAAATCACATGTGTTTTTTTTTTAATCCCCACTATGTTCCAACACAGAGCTAAGTGTTTTTGTTTGACATTGACAATATGGCCCAAAGTCAATGGTTGATACCATGGTAACATTTAAAAGTATATAAACAACAAACACAGAAACCTCTGCTAAAATGTCACTTCTGCTACAAATTTATTCCGAAGAAAATGTACAATTTTGAGGAACACTTACTCATAGGGACAATGCCAAGAAACACAGACCTAAATAAATCAGATCAATTTACCGCCATTTACACACATTCAACACAATATGTTTCTTTGTGAATGTCTAATGTTGGCCCTTTTATTGCCTTTAAAATGGTCTCCATGTTAGTCTCTGAAATTGACTAACCTAAGTGAAATGACAACTATATAAATTTTTTTTTAAAAAAGAACCCCTTTAAACTCTAGCATATAAAGGATGGCTACATTAATATCATTCCGTACTTTTGGCTCCCGACCATCTGATTGCTTTGTTCAAGTACAACAATAAAAACTGCTCAGGGAAACGAGGAGACAGCACAGGGGTGAGTGCTCTTAGCGTGTAACAGTGCATTGGAGTCCTCATGCTTGTTTGCATTTGCTTGGAATAAGTATCTAAGGGACAATTAAGTTCTAAGCTGACGCTACTATTTGAAATCCCAGAAACGGCTCCTGGGAAGAGTTTGGCTTTTTTGGTGACAATAGATTTTCTGATGAAGCACACCATTCCCTCTTGAAAAAGACCTGGCACGGCTTCGTATGATAAAATCTGACCAACGCAAGGAACATGATGATCAGTTTGGGAACGGGTGTTTTAATAAAAGAAACATGAAATGGGCTGTGCTTTGGCAGGACAGACCCCACACCATCATGCAGGCCGTCCTCCTGGCCCGCAGCTGATCCCTATCCCACTACACTGTGCGCGTTCCCACTGACCTCACTGACAATGCTGGCACGGAGACGATGACATAACCCAAGAGCAGTCATGTTGCATTCTGCTTTGTTAGAGTCACATGAAAAACAAACCAACTGGCCCACCTCCTTCCACCTCCTGCCTCCCCTCCCCCCTCGCCACCCCCTCCCTACTTTCCCCCCCCCCGCCCAAAACAAGCCCTCCTCAGGAACAGGTCTGAGGCTCAGCCGAGCTGTTCAATATGTACATTTCTAGGCAAGGGCATAAACAGAGATAAGAACATTGCAACTGTAGAAAGGAAAAGGCAAGGCTTAAAAACAGTGATGCAGTGAAATGTAATACATGTACAATAAAGGAGGTGCAAAAAGTGGACTTCGGATTATCCAGATCACAGGTTATTAAAGGTTTTGAATCTGGAGCAATAAAATAGGCCAGCTAGTTCGGGAGGAGACAGCACTGGCCTTTAACTGTATTTTATAAAAAAATACCAATGCTCTAGCTGGTTTGGCTCAGTGGATGGAGATTCGGCCCGAGGACGGAAGGGTCCTGGGTTCAGTTCCGGTCAATGGCAGGTACCTCGGTTGCAGGCTCAATCCACGGCCCTGATCGGGGCGCATGTGGGAGGCAATCAATTGATGTGTCTCTCTCACATTGATGTTTCTTTCTCTCTCCCCCTTCCTTCCACTCTAAAAAAATCAATGGAAAAATATCCTCAGGTGAAGATTAACAACAACAACAAAACAGATACTAATGTACTAAGATTCTTACTGTACTGATAATATTGAAGTTTATACATTAGTATTACAAACTAGCCTACATTACCCGCATAAATGCTTGATGTGTTCTACAGCTAGGGACTGTGCGTGATACTCTTACTCTTCCTGTAATCACATCGGTGGTTCCATTAGAAGAGAAGTAAAACCTCGATGGAGACTCTGCCTTCCTGCTCACATCCAAACTCATGTTATAAAACAAAACTGAAAAAAATGTAGAGAGAATTGCAATTAATTTCTAAAAGCATTTATTTTGTTATTTTTGAAGTGATCATAGTCAAAGTTATAGAGAATATTGAAAATGTCTTAAATTCTATTCAACAAATAGCTTTTTAAAAACTAACCTGAACTATGAAAGAGGGAACAATTTAAAAATACAAATTACAAAAGTTATTTTTCTAAATAAAAAATGTAAAAATTTTTCTCTAGGTTTCTTATTTTAACAATATTAAAATCTTTAGTTATTGGCTTAATCCACTTAATATGTAAATGTTTCAAAACGGCAGTACCAAATTGTTACTAATAATAAAAGTCCTGAGTAAAGTTTCAAATTTCTTTGGAGTCCTTTTTTGTGCATAGAAAATCTGTCTAAAGAAGTACAGTCAGAGTACTGTGCTCAAATGTCACCTGGAATATTTCTATCTTGTGTGGTTATATAATTAACTTCATATGTTGTTAGGTTCATTTATTTCCATATGTTTCCAATTTGAGGGGTTGATCTTTTTCTTTTGATTTATTTGTTATTGTTTTTTAATGTAAAGTGAACACATGATTCAAAGTCAAACCTATATAAACAGTGTACTCAAAGATGTCTTCTTTTCCAGCCCTGGGCCCTGGTAAGTCAGCTCCACAATTTTATTGGTTTCTAGTCTGAACTTCTGATTTGTGCAAAAATAAACAAGTACAGACAGACATTCTCAATAAATATTTTGGCAGTTCTGGAAGAACTTATTTCAGCGGTCACCAACCTTTTGGACCTCATGGACCACCGGTGGTCTGCAGACCACCGGTTGGTGACAGCTGACTTATTTCAAATCTGACATAGTACACAGTGATCATCTGCTAATATCTTCAGTAAGCAAAACAATAAGGAAAATTTACCAGCAACTTTTTTTAAAAAGTCCAAGCCAGATCTTATCAAGAAAGAGCCATTTCTTGAGTCTAAAGAGGATCTTTGCAAAACAAGCTGCATCTATAGTTTGTTGAGGTGTCACTCATATAGGAGCAATAATTCGTTAAGTGGTATTTTGAATTTATGTAACTCCTGAAGTGTTCAGTTATATTTTAGGCATGAATAACTCCTCTGAAAGTATTTTATTTACATTTCAGGGAAATCTAAGTATAGAACCTACACTACTCCTACAAATTTCAAATAAATCTGTCAATCTTCCTTTTATTTAGAAAATAAATAATAAAGTCCAAATCAATTGGCTTCAAAATCACAATAACTGAGGTTCAGTGCCTTAGAGATATTCAGACAAAAGTAAATGAAGAAAGGGGAATAAAAATCCACTCACAGTAAGAGGCAAAAATGTTTTGGTTTCATTAAACTCTAGTGGCTTGGTGCATGGACTTGTGCAAAAGGAAATTAATTAGAAGAAATATTTTAATACTGCTATTCACCCTTTCTCTATAATAGAAGTGTCAACAAAATTCACGATTGACAATGACAGATCAAAACACATGCGTGCAATTGACGCCAGTGAAAGCTTTATATGTATCACGCATGTGCAAGTCAACTTAGCCTTTAATACCTATAGAATGTAAACTTGCTTAATTAGACCTTCTTTCTGATGTAGCTAAACTTTTTCCAGCCCAGTGAAGCATCCCAACTTCTCTTTCAGGTAATTGTCAGCAACACAGCAGCAAAGATCAACACGAAGCAGATTATTATTTTAGACCACGGAAGGAGAACAAAGGGTAAAATATTTAACTGCAGCAGTGTTTGACTATATCTGTGTAGTGAGAAAACCTAAAGTCATTTTCAAGGTCCACCATTTCTTCTTTTCAGTCAGGTCAAGTTTCTAAGCTTTCTAAATCTCCATTTTCTGGCTAATGAAAAGAAAATAGGATTCCACCGAGTCTCCTATCTACCTGCTCTAGGACTTCTGTGAGGATCAAATGAGATGAGGCACAGGAAAACTCTTCACAGACACTTGGGTAAAGTGTGAAATGTTTGCACCTGTCTATAAAGCAAGTCGTGTTCCTGGGCTGAAGAAACTGCAAGGAGGCTAGTCGTTGCTAGGGAAATGAAGCCGGGTGTTGCTACGTGACGTCATTACCCGGATGGACACTTAGCATACTAGTCTTTTATATATATAGATACTTAATGTGAATTATTTCTCCCAAGGAGTCATTTTACAACTATACAGCATGTTTTTGTAACACTGCTGTGGTTATTTATGAATTTCATATATTTGTTTTCAACCAATTAAAAAACATCTGGTCATAAAGGAACTGGTAGTACAACAGATACTGATATCGCATAAAGGGAAACAGTCCTATCAATGGAGCACCTATCTTTTGCATAATCCATCAGCTTGTTTGTGCTCCTGTGATAATGGAGTCATGCTCTCAAACTGCCACTTCTTCCATCAGGAACCAGATGAAGGATAGGCCCATAGTCTTATCACTGCATCTCTAGCCAGGACTTTTGTGGAGTGCTATAAAAAATGCACCTGACCACAAGTAGAGATGTTAGGCTCCTTCTGTACTTCTCACTACAGGCTAATTCAGACTGGAGCATCTGTTACACATCTGTTATTTGGCTCAGTATTTGCTGCCCTTCATGATGTTTAGATGAGGGCAGCCTGCAGGGTCATGAGTACAGTCAACTCTTAAGTGAGGGGCTCATAAATTTTGTGAATTATTGATGTCCAAATGATAAACCCATGTCAGCTTCTTTCCTATCATAGGCTAGTTTCATTAGTAGTCATTCCCATATTAGCCTTAATATAACATAATTAGAAAAATTAACTTGCTAGTAAAAAATGTAATACTTAATCAAGTTACATATTTGGATTTGGAATTAGCCACAATTTTGGATGAGCCATATCAATGCTACTTTTTGCAGAGAGGAAAACTGAGTTAGCTACCTATAGAAAAATGTGCACAAGCACTCAGGAGTTGAGTGCCATAATAAATCCTTAACGGACGCGTGTTATTTATGAAAAGTAGAATCAGGTTCTAGACTTTAGAAAGCTTCTTCAGTTACTTAAACAGGATAGAATACAAAGAAAAGAATGTTCTCTCTCCCTGGGTTTCCAAGTTAAGCCAACACCACGCTTTAAGGAGCCCAGTAAAACAGAGGAGGAACTGTGGTGATGCTTTTTCTGTTCTAAAGAGCTGTTACAGATTAAGCTCAGATAGTTCACTTTAAATAATACAGCAAGTGATACAGCTGATTTGCTTATCATAACCTCTAAACAACAGTAACCTCTTAATGTGCCCCCCTCATAGGTTAGAATAATGAGAGCATCTGAAAGATGGGCAAGAAAGGTGTATCAGGTGACTGCTCTCTCCTGCCCTTAACCAGTCCTCCAATGTGACACAAAGTGAGGGCTCAAAAGATGACAGTGAGATTAATGGGTAAAGTACACATTCTATTGATTTTGTAAGGGTGCCCTTACCAATATAACCTGGAACCTCTTTGCCCTTGTATGAGAAACAGAGTCTTAGATCCATGCACACAGAAGGCAATCCATTTTCAATACAGTCAAAGTTTGTTCTATTTACTGACTCAGGATGGTCTAAAGAAGCTTCGACAATCACTACAGGTCTTGTCCTAAGGAGGAAATAAAATTAGCAATATTAACTACAGAATTATTTTTCCTTAGGAAAAGAATTGCATTTGTTTTGTCAGTTTCCATTGACTAAGTAATTTCATGAAACTGTTTTATTAATAGTATGTGCATATAAACTCAATTAAATTTCCATGTATGAATCAAGAGGGATTTTCATAAAATACTGACTCTAATTATATTAATTATATCTATGTAAGGTGGGAAAAGTATCCTAAAGTTCAATAATTAAATTTTGGGATACCAAATGGAGGGTTATGAAGTTACCACCATTGCTGATTTTAAAAATTGCCTCCCATCATTTACACTTAAGCCCAATTGTCATTAAGCAGCGAAATGTATCAACCTTACCTTAGCAACACAGCAGAATTGGACCGAAAAGCACCAACTGCTATATCTGGAAGATAAAAAACAACACGGATTATTGATCATCATTAGTCAAAGAGAATTACTTTTCAGTCAGAAATACTTAACTACATATCACCTTTGGACTACATCAAAACACTACTTACAAAAAATTAATTAGAAAAGACATGCTTATGTACATCTTAAAACTCATTCCACATTTGTCTGAATCTACCCAGTTGTAACAATATTCATCCCTTTATAATATAAACATAATGTGATATAAAATGAAAATCCAATTTTTGGACTAGAAACATTCACCCAGAAATCTTTCAAATTACAAAAAGAGAACCCACAATAATAGTCTTCTTTCTTTGCATCATCATACCTAGAGACCCGGTGCACAACATTCGTGTACTTGGGGGGGGAGGCCCTCAGCCCAGGCTGTGCCCTCTCGCAGTCCTGGACCCCTCGGGGGAAGTCTGCCTGCTGCGGGGGCAGGAGAGGCTCCCGCCACTGCTGCTGTGCTCACCAGCCATGAGCCCACTGGCGAGCCCAGTTTCTGGCTGAGCGGTGTTCCCCCTGTGGGAGCTCACTGACCACCAGGGGGCAGCAACCTGTGCTGAGTGTCTGCCCCCTGGTGGTCAGTGCACGTAATAGCGACTGGTCTTTCTGCCATTTGGTTGATTTGCATATTAGCCTGTTATTATATAGGATGGTTCATTTATTTTTATGGTTTTTAATTTTATAAAGAATAAGGAATGCCCTAACCGGTTTGGCTCAGTGGATAGAGCATCAACCTGCAGACTGAACAGTCCCAGGTTTGATTCGGTCAAGGGCATGTACCTTGGTTGCGGGCACATGCCAGTAGGAGGTGTGCAGGAGGCAGCTGATCGATGTTTCTCTGTCATCGATGTTTCTAACTCTCTATCTATCTCCCTTCCTCTCTGTAAAAAATCAATAAAATATATATATTTTTAAAAAAGAATAAGGAATAATGTTAAATAACTAAGTGTAAAGCTCAGGAATTACTTAACCATTTCAGAGACATCCTTGAATTCAAAAAAGCTTTAAAAATGAAGGAAAAAATTATCAGTAAATCAGAACTCTCTTATGTACGTATTTCTCAATAAATAGAATCCACAACAGAGCTTATCCCAATATAAAAAATAAGGTAAATTTTATACTCACCCATATATCCATTATTGTCTGCATCGATTTGCCCAGATATGGACTGTCCAAACATACTTAAGGATTTGCTGATTTGAAGCCCTTCAATTCTCTAAAAAACAGGTAAGTTGAGTGAGAAGTGCTTTTGAACACCCTCTATCCTAGAGAAGCAGTGATTTAGTTAAAAAGCCTTCCCATGCCCCGGGACATTTATGAGCAAAATACATTTTAGCTAAGTCAAACACTTGTATCTAAGAGAAACAAAATTTTCCAGCTTTCCCTGGGCAGTTGACATCTAAAAAAATTGCTTTATTTTGTGAGCAAAGGGAAATCATGTAGTACAGATCTCCTATAATGGTTCTGACCCCTCTCCCCAGTCTTCTCTCTGGTTCTATATTTATTTCCCTGACCAGCATGAATTACCAAACAAGTAATCTGGAAAATAAGACATTGCTAGTCCCTTAGTGGAGCCCTCAACTCAGGTTTATGAGGAAAGCCACCCGTTAGCTGACTGCATCCTAGCATTTGACAAGGACAACTCAAGTCCTGTGCTTCCTAATCCATGTGTCTCATTTCATGTCTAGATAGTGATTTATAAGTATCAGGCTGCTATCCAGACTTAGATCAGTATTTTTTACTAGACAAACACATACCTTTCATGTTAAATGTAGAAAGCCACATGCCTATTTTTGCCTAATCAGAAATTACAATATTAGCTAATGTTTTCATAAAAGTGTCTTTGGAAAAGCTTTTCTTCTCTGCATGTGCATATAGTTGTTTTCTATGCCCTGAACCGGTCTATTTTTTCAGATTGTAGAAGTGAAGTCAGAGTTAGATCAGGAATTTTATTAAAGTGCTATCGGCTTACTGCTTTGCACTGAAAGAACACAGCGTAACATATAGAGTATTTGCTCTCTCTGTGTGATCTCCATGAAATATGGGGCTTTAGCTACAAGACAGGATAGTTAATCAAATCCAAATGTGCTCATTTGGAATAGTATAGATATTACCTCAGAACATGAATTTAATGAAATCCAGAGAGAAATCTTTATAGGTTAACGACAAACCAGGATGGACGTGAACTAGAACTCTTATTTATGGGGGGGAAAATGGTTCCGAAGACTTATTAATACTCTTAAAAGTGAGACCATCTACTGTAGTGATAAAAATGGTGAAATAGAATAAGTATTTGAACAAACAAGTTAAGAAAAAGGAGTCTCATTAACACCGGAAATGTTAAAGAAGCTTTTATTACCAATGCTTCTTTTGAAAATGGAATCATCTCCTACCTGTGAGAAGGCCGATGAGATCCCATCTGCTCCACCATTGTAAATATAAATGGCGCCTCGCAAGTCATCTTCCTGTGGGGCTCCAATAGCAACATCTATTCAAGAATGTAAGTGGTGGAAAAATAAATCCTTCATATAAAGAATGCAACTCTGAAAACTAACCTGCATGCTCCTTAATCATATCAGATAACATAAGAAACTCCTTATAAAAAAAACTAACACTTTTCTCATTAGAAAAAGATTACAAAATACTAATATCCTCACAACAATGTACAGTGCTGTACAGAATAGTGGGTGCATGAAAGAAGCAGAGTAAATGGGTCTGAGAGGCAGTTTAACAGAATGGCTAAAGGCCTGGACCCCAGCATTGCTGCCGTGCTGTTATACTGGACACAGTTCCTAACGTCTCTGTGTCTCTTCTGTTCCCTCACCTATAATACAGGGTCATAAGAGAACTCAGTCACTCAACATAGAAGAACATTATTCATCTACAGTGCTCAGAGCAGCACCTAGAACATAATCAATTATCCTCATCTATGTAGAGCATAACCAAAGAATCCTTACTTTGAGTTTTTGAGTTCTAAGATTTACTTTCTTTGCAAAATGACTTCTAAATTATCTCATGTTCCAATGCAAGTAATGAAGGTATTTGTTCAGGGTATCTGTACACACACACACACACACACACACACACAGATTTCAGAAAATAGATTTGTTCTATAAAATAAAGACCGTATCACCTTTATGACTTTATTAAGATTCAAATCAGATTTTGACACCAGGAGAAAAGATTTGATCAATTAACATAAAAAAAAAGCCAAGTGAAAATAGAAACTATGAATGACATGGTTGGTTATGTGCTGTAAATATAGAGTACATAAAGAAAAAACTCTACATTTTTCTACTTATTTACTAAGTATTATGTCTATTTGGGTATGAATTTGGGTATATTCATATTTTTGTTTATATGCAATGTTTTCTTATTACTTTAATAGAAACCTAAAATATAGAAAGTTTGTTTTATGATTTTCATTTCTTATCACTGTTCATCAGACCTAAAAACTTTTTATAAAACCAGGTGGCAGTTTTTTACTGCCATTTCAATGCAAATAAAATAATCTTTAATATATTCTTTAGACCAGTGGTTCTCAACCTTCCTAACACCATGACCCTTTAATACAGTTCCTCATGTTGTGGTGACACTCAATTTCATTGTTACAAATTGAACATAATTAAAGCATAGTGATTAATCACAAAAACAATATGTAATTATATATCTGTTTTCTGATGGTCTTAGGCGACCCCTGTGAAAGGGTCGTTCGACCCCAAAGGGGTCATGACCCACAGGTTGAGAACCACTGCTTTAGAACAAATACTGTGCAGTTTTAAAACTGCAAAAGCTTTTCTATTTTCATATAAAAATAACTGGTTGATATATCTTATACTGTATTTTGTTTTGACCTGCTAAGGTTACCCTCCTGGACTTGTACAAATTATTTTAAATTTTCATACACAAATACACCCATTCATTTGTTCATTCAGTGGGCAACTATTGAGCATCTACTAAATTTCTGCTGAAAAATCTGAAAAAAATACTGCCCTGTACTGTCAGCTCCTGGCAAATGTTTGGAATACAGTATTAAAAATGCTAAAGGGACTTATTTAAAACAAAAAAGAGAACTAATTAGTAATAAGAAAACATATGAAAGTATAAAGCTCACCAGTAAAAGTAAACATATAGCTAAGGTAGTGGATTAAGCACTTACAAAGATAGTATGAAGGCAAAAGACAGAAGTAGTAAAAATAACTACAACTACAGTAATTAGTTAAGGAATAAACAAAATGAATAATGTAAGTTGTTACAAAAAATATAAAATGTGGGAAAGGGGAGTAAAAATGTAGAGTTTTAAAATTCATTCAAATTTAAGTTGATGTCAACTTCAAGTAGACTGTTTTGTAAATCTATATACTGTTATTTATGAGCCTCTTCATAACTACAAAGCAAAAACTGATGGTAGATATATAAAAGATAATGAGAAAGGAATCTAAACATAACATTAAAGAAAGTCATCAAACCACAAGGGAAAAAAACAAGAAGAAAGGAACTACAAAACAACAAAATGGCAATAAGTACGTACTTACCAACAACTACTTAAAATGTAAATGGACTAACATCTTCAACCAAAAGAGTGGCTCAGTGGATTGAAGACAAACAAATAAACAAAAACAAGACCCATCTATATGTTGCCTACTAGAGACTTAATCAGATGTAAGAACACACACAGACTGAAAGTGAAGGAATGGAAAAAGATATTCCATGTAAATGGAAACCACAAGAAAGCTGGAGTAGCTGTATCTATATAAGACAAAACAGACTTTAAAACAAAGATCGTAATAAAACACAGAAAAGATAATTACATAATCATACATGAGTAAATTCAAAAGTAGGTAATATTTGCAAGTATTTTTGAAGCAAACATAGAAGCACCTTAATATATAAAGCAAATATTAATAGACTTAAAGGGAGAAATTGATAGTATACTATAATAATAGGAAACTAGAATACCCCACTTACACCAGTGATTTCCAGACAGAAAATCAATAAGAAACATGGGCTTTAAATAACACATTAAACCTGTTAGATTTAATAAATATATGTAGAACATTCCATCCAAGAACAGCAGAATACGGATTCTAGTGAAGTACAAATGGAACATTCTTCAGTGCAGATAGTTAAGCCACAAAGCAAGTCTTAATAAATTTAAGAAGATTGAAATCATACCTAACATCTTTTCTGACCACAATGGTATAAAACTAGAAATCAATTATAAGAAGAAAACTAGAAAAATTACAAATATATGGAAATTAAACAACATTATACTTAACCAATGAGGTCAACAAAGAAATAAAAGGAATCATGAAAGATTACTATGAATAATTATATGCCAACAAGTTGGACAACTTGGAAGAAATGGATAAATTCCTGGAAACATACACTCATCTAAGATTGGACATGAAAAATAGTAAACCTGAATAGACTGAATTGGTAATTGAAAATCTCCCAAGAAACACAAGCCTAGAACCCAATGACTTCACTGGTGGATTCTACCAAACATTAAGATTTAAAAAAATATATATATTTTATTGATTTTTCACAGAGAGGGATAGAGAGAAACATCAATGAGAGAGAAACATTGACCAGCTGCCTCCTGCACACCTCCTACTGGGGATGTGCCCGCAACCAAGGTACATGCCCCTGGCCAGAATCGAACCTGGGACCTTTCAGTCCGCAGGCCGACGCTCTATCCACTGAGCCAAACCGGTTAGGGCCCAAACATTAAGATTTAATACCTATCCTTCTCAACTCCTTCAAAAAATTGAAGAGAAGGAAGGGCTGCCAAACTTGTGTTATGAGACCAGAAGTATCCTGATACCAAAAGCAGACAAGAACACCACAAAAAGCCCTGGCTGGTTTGGCTCAGTGGATAAAGTGTTGGCCTGCGGACTGGGGGGCTGGGGGGGGAGGGTCCCAGATTCGATTCCAGTCAAGGGCACACGTGGGCTCGATCCCCAGTGGGGGGCGTGTGCAGGAGTTAGCCGATCAATGATTCTCTCTCATCATTGATGTTTGTCACTCTCTTCCTCTCCTTTCCTCTCTAAAATCAATAAAAATATATATTTTTAAAACAGAACACAAAAAGAGAAAAGTACAGGCCAATATCCCTGAGGTACACAGAAATCCTCTGTAAATCCTTTGTAAAATATAGCAAACCAAATTCAATTGTACATTAAAAGGATCACACATTCTGACCACATTGGATTTATTTCAGGGATGCAAGGATGGTTCAACATTCACAAATCAATCAACAGGATACACCACACTAATAAAAGCAAAGATAAAAATCATCATCACAATAGATGCAAAAAAAAAAGCATTTGACCAAGTTTACCAAACATTTGTGACAAAAATGCTCAGCAAAATGGGTCTAGAAGGAACATACCTCAACATCATAAAGGCCATGTACAACAAGCCTCAAACCTTTTCATCTATTATTAGGAACAATTCAAAAATGCCCACTTTCACCACTTTTATTCCACATACTATTAAAGTCCTAGCCAGAACAATTAGGTACATAAAAGAAAAACAAAAGGCATTCAAATTGGACAGGTAGAAGTAGAACTGTCACAATTTGCCCATTACATGATTTTATTTGTAGAAAACCCTAAAGACTTTACCAAAAAACCTGTTAGAACTAATAAAAAATTGCAGTAATGTTGCAGGGTACAAAATCAATATACAAAAATCTGTTGTGTTTCTATACCCTAACAAACTACTAGAAAGAGTAACTAAGAAAATAATCCTATTTACAACTGCACCAAAAAGAATCAAATACTTAGAAATAAATTAAAGAGGTGAAAGACCTATACACTGAAAACTTTAAGACATTAATAAAAAAATGAGGACAAAAATAAATGGAAAGGTTCTTCATGTTCATGAATTGAAAGAATATTGTTAAAATGTCCATATTACTGAAAGCAATCTACACATTATTGCAATCCCTATCAAAACTCCAGGGGCATTATTCACAGAATTAGAAAAAAAATCCTAAAATTTGTATTGAACCACAACAGGCCCTGAATAGCCACAGCAATCTTAAGAAAAACAAAGCCAGAGACATCACACTCCCTGATTTCAAACTGTATTACAAAGCTATACTAATCAAAACAGCATGATAGTGGCATAAAAATAGACATGTAGATCATTGGAACAAGAAGAGAGATCCCAGAAATAAATCTACACACACACACACACACACACACACATATACACACACACACACACACACACACACAGTCAATTCACTTAAGAATATACAATGGAGAAACAGTAATAAATGGTGATGGGAAAACTGGACAGCTACATGCAAAAGAATGAAACTAGACCACTACCTTATACCATACACAAAAATTAACTCAGAATATCTATCATAGAATTTTATAAACTCTTAAATGTAAAATGTTATTTGTATAATCATAATCATAAAAATATCTATCCTTTTGTTTTTAATATAGTAAAAAAATTCCAGAAATGGTAATGTTTGTATACAAAATTACACTATCTTACATTTATTTATTTATTTTTAATATATTTTATTGATTTTTTACAGAGAGGAAGGGAGAGGGATAGAGAGCCAGAACCATCGATGAGAGAGAAACATCGATCAGCTGCCTCCTGCATGCCCCCTACTGGGGATGTACCAGCAACCAAGGTACATGTCCTTGACCGTAATCGAACCTGGGGCCTTTCACTCCACAGGCCGACGCTCTATCCACTGAGCCAAACCGGTTCTGGCTCACTATCTTACATTTAATGGGGCTCATTGAAAGCATATGTTCAACAATACACTAACTTTCTCCTTGCAGAGTAACATTTTAGACATCTAAAGTAGAAAGAAGAAAGCACTTAGGCATAAAAAGGAATTAAGGAAGTGAGAATTTACAATACTCCACTAATTTTTGATATCCATATAAATTTTGACCGAATATTACCATATACCAATCATCAATGACTATAACAAGAAGTCACAATTCTAGCTCTGAAAATAAATATCGAACACTTATTTGCTGAACTCCATGAATCACACACATTCTCTCAAACCTATTGATCATTTTATTTATTTATTTTTATATTTCTTTATTGATTTCAGAGAGGAAGGAAGACGGAAAGATAGAAACATCAATGATGAGAGAGAATCATTGATTGGCTGCCTCCTACACGCCCCCTACTGGGGATGGAGCCCACAACCCAGGCATGTGCCCTTTACAGGAATCGAACCTGGGACCCTCCAGTCCGCAGGTTGATGCTCTATCCACTGAGCTAAACTGGCTAGGGCCTATTCATCATTTTATGCCCAGTTTTAACAGACTTGGTAATCACTCAGGGCTAGATTGGAAAACACAAATTTTAAGAGGGAAGGCTGGTAGAAACAAGTACTTCAGCAGCTGGGCTGATTTCTAGGCAATAGGCACAGTTACGATGTACCATCTATTCCATTATAGAAATTGTCCCATATCAGTTGATAAATAGCCACTCTTCTTGAGTCTACTAGTTGCACCTCACCACTGCTCAGGACTCAATCATGGGATCCCTCAGATCCTCCCACAATGCTACAGCTGAACAAGGAACTCCTGGTATAGCAGGGGCTTCCAGAACCCTGCGCCAGCTCTGCAGCCAGCCTCCACTGGGTTTTGTCAGAGTCTTTATTGTAACAACAGTGAAAGAATAGGGTCCAATGAATCTATGACATACATTTTCTCCACATTTTAACATTTCCAAAATTAGAATCCTTTTTAGAATAGAAAAATGGTGGGTCACAATTTAACAGCATTTTTTAGGGGCACAAAAAATGCCACTCATAACCAATGGTGCCTCTGAACCAATGGCATATAACAACAGTAAGAATCAATAGCTGACAACTAAGGAGAAGTCAGGTGTGACTAAAAAAAGAGCATACATTCTGGCCCCATTTTCTATAGAAAGACAAACAACATAAAACTCCAATCATATTTTCTTCCATGTACCATTTTAAAAGTGGAAATCAAATACTAAATTGGATACTTTTACTTACCTTCAAAGCCATCATTATCGATGTCACCAAGATTAACTATAGATTCCCCAAATCTTGCAGCATATTTGTCACTTCCAACGAGCGCTGTTTCCATTTCATTCATTACTGCTCCCTAGATAGAAAGGGGGAGAAAGGTGTCATTAGAACACTCCCTGACAACTTTACACATGATTTACTGTTGTAATTGGATATTGATTTTTTTCTAATGCTTCAAACAAGTTGGACAAACTACAGACTGAGCTGTAGTACACACATCTCAGTTCAATTCAATAAATATTTATCAAGCACATGTCAACACATAATAGTATGATTAGAGCTCAAAGGATATAAAAAATTGTCAAACTCATGATTCTTAGTTTTGAAAAATCCAATAAATCATTTTGATAATTCAATTTAGCAAATATTTATCGAGTTCCTACTGCAGGCACTGCACTCTACAGACTGAACAAGTGAAAGGGAATAGGCATGTGTTTATATGTCACAGGCCCTTTCCTAAAGAAGCCCAGAGTTACAGGAAAGGCTATACACAAGCATGTAAATGACTTAGAAGTACAGACTGCTTGGTAATATCAAAGAGCAAGGAAAGTATATGTAATTGTGAGAGCTGAGAGAGATTTCATAAACAATATTCAAGGTAACTATTGAAGGATGGGCATAACTTTAATACACAGAGGAAATTATCAGCAAAGCACAAATTCCAAAGACTTTGGCCATCATGAACAGTGTGTATAATGAGTGAGACTAAAATATTCAGATTGGATCCTTGTAGGGTGGTACTGTGAACACTGGGGGAAATTTACTCTCAATTTAGAGGACAATAGGAAGCTGCTGAAGGTTTCTGAGTTGAGGAGTGATGCGACCGAAGCTGGCCTTTGGAACAGTATTCCAGCAGCAATGAACGCTGGTCAACCGCTATCCCTGAAGTGGGAAGATGAGTTACTACAATAAGACATTCCATTATGTTGTAATCATAGCTACCAGACTCTCTAAATGCCAATCATGTCACTATCTTGTAGAAAAAATATCCATGCACTACTTACTCATTCCTCTGCTCAAATAGGTCTATTCATCATTTCCTAAGTAGACGCATCTTCTTCCCCTTGGCTAGTGCCCTTCACCTTTTACTTTCCAACTAAAAAATTCCTGTACTTATTTTGCTCCCAGAGAATCACCTAATTTAAAGAGCAGAAGGCAGAAGAGACTCCAACAAGGATGAGAAGGTGCAGACCTAAGGAAATGCAAAGGCACTGAAGTTCCAGGGGAGAGTTTCAAAAAGGGGTAATCACTCTTCTATGAGTATTCTCCAGTCACAGAGAATGGTGACCAAGGGTTCACTGGGGACCCCTGAGAGCTATTTTAGTAGAAGTAGGTGGAAGCCATATTCATTCAAGTACCATTATTTCTTGAGTTCATTAACAAATAATTACTGAGCACCTACTTGTCCAGGACTCTGTCAGGCCCGGAGGAAACAGCAGTAAACAAGACAGATGATCCCTTTCCACAGGGTGTCTACATTCCAGGAGAGGAACAGATATTAGCAAACCAAACTAATAAGTATATAATATAATTCCTTTGTGGTAGTGGTTAGTGCCTTTTTAGAGAGGTATAAAACAAGAAGTTAGAAAGGAGCAAAGCAAGAATAATCAATGCCAGAGTGAGCTTTAAAAGCTGAAATCAATTACGATTTTTAACCCCAGTGTTCAATAGTGGTGGCTGAGGGCAGGAGTGAGGAAAGAACAAAAGGGTAGACTTGTGGGTACAGCTACTCTTTTGCCCTTTAAGCAAAGGAGCTCCACTTTTATCTGGTTTTCATATTGGGATTGCTTAAGATTTCAATGAGAACAACAAGGTCCTATATTGCCTTATTTTAGGTATATATGTTACTGTTCAAACTAAATAGCTCTGCCAGAAAAAGTAATAATACATGAGATCACTATTAATGAGGTATGATCACTTTGCAGATTATAAGCTTTTACTATTAAATTTAGATTAAAACAGTATAGAAAATTCCAACACATACATAACTCTCCTGCTCTACATCTGGAACTTTCAGAATCTCTCAGCTTTATAAGACTACTAGGGGCCCGGTGCATGAAATTTGTGCACAGGGGCTGGGTCCCTCAGCCCGACCTGCACCCTCTCCAAACTGGGAGCCTTCAGGGGAACCCTCTCCAACCCAGGAGTTTCTGTCTTTGCAATCATATGAGCAAGTTGTCTGAGACCCCAACCCAGTTTGGTTTGGTGCTCACAGAATAATAGAGGTCTTTTTTTTTTCTTTGCTCCATTGGTGGAGATTTCCTGGAAGTTTTAGGATATCTTCCTTTTAATTTTTCCTCAACACTCTGACTTTACTTATGTCTCTCACCTTTGCTTTCCCTCCATCCCCCACCTGCAACAGTAACTTGCTCCAGGCTCACTTTGCTCTAGTGTCTGGGACAGTGATGGTGAACCTATGACATGCGTGTCAGAGGTGACACGCAAACTCACTTTTTTGGTTGATTTTTGTTAAATGGCATTTAAATATATAAAATAAATATCAAAAATATAAATCTTTGTTTTACTATGTTTGCAAATATCAAAAAATTTCTATATGTGACACGGCACCAGAGTTAAGTTAGGTTTTTCAAAATGCTGACACGCTGAGCTCAAAAGGTTCGCCATCACTGGTCTAGGAGATCCCGCAATGAATCTGCCAACAGAACTATGATTCCCAGCATTCCTGGTGCTCCCCGTGCTCTAGGCTTCCGCTTCTGGTCCAGGGGCTGCCACCAGAACTACAATTCCCAGAATTCCTGGTGCACCCTGTGCTCTTGGTTTCTGCTTCCAGTCCAGGGGCTGCAGAAACCAAAATGACTGAGAACTCCAGATGCCTCTAGGCTGGGCTGACAGGACCGGACACTCCAGTGGCATCCCTGGGACCCCAGCTGCTCAGAGCTGGCATGTACGTGCACTGGCCAGAGGCCCACCATCTTTGTCGGGTTAATTTGCATACTCACTCCTGATTGGCTGTGGGCATCATGGAGGGATGGTTAATTTACATTATTTGTCTATTATTAGTATAGATTTCCTCTTAAATTTTAAAAAGTTTAGTCTCATGTTTAATATAGAAATTTATTAAATGGTGTGAAACCACTGATTAAATAAGATTACAAATACCTTCTTGAAACAGATTTTACTTTGTTAAATCCTACCTGTGCCTTAAGAAATGAACTAATGTTCTCACAAACCCACTCATGTTCTTAAACCAAAGGCAGGCCCAAAGGACCCCATGAAGACCCTATCAATTCTCTGCTTTGATTTAAGGTCAAGAAGATAGGCTGGCAAGACAAGGCCAGCAGAACTCTTTTAATTGACCTGTCCATAATTTAAAACTCAACAATAAGCAATAATTACGTATTTCTACAAATCCTATATCCACTGTGGAAGAAACTATGTCAATTTTATATTCTTATCAATCTATATTAGTTGTGCAAATTAACATTTTATCAAAACATGTCTTGATGGTCAATGGTCAAATCAAGAAATTGAAAATATGAAATATTTTTTCTACTTCAAGTAATATTTTATAATTATTAAATCATATAAGGACAATCACTAAATAAGAAATCCACATTTTGAAGGATACAAACATCATGCTTTCAAGTTAGATTTGTGCCACAATGAAAATTGAAAGAAACGTCATATATTGCAGTGAACACCTCCCAGCTGTGAACAGAGCAGCTCTGGAATGACTCATCACCTCCTTCTGGAATGGCAAAATGGGTCAGTGGCCCATTTACCATCATATTCTATTTCATTTTGGGAGCGTCAGTACCATACCAGAATTTTCACTTTCAGCAGTAAAATAAGCCTAAGGATCTGTAGTCTCAGAGCTCCAGAATAAGTTCCCAACACAGTCCCCTGAGGGGCTCCCAGTTTGGGGATCCTTGGACTTACTGAGCCGGAGTTGATGTACACGAACACTCTGCCTTCCTCCCTGATGCTGCTCTGCATGGGAGCTCCCACCAGCATGTCCGAGAAGCCGTCTGCATTGAGGTCCACGGCACAGATAGAAGCTCCAAAATAAGAGCCAAGCTGCTCCAAAAACAAACCAGACCCAGTCATTGAGAAAAAAGCAGGGTTAGTCACCAAAGCCCCCAGGGAGACCAAAGGTAGAGACATATTACCTTTTTACCTTTCATTTCATGTAAGATCGTTAGTGCTCTTTCATCAATTCTGAATATGTATGCCTGCAATTGTGAAAAGAATTAGAAAAGGTTGGACTATGACATTTAAAAAATTTTTTTCATTTGATCAAAATATCATTTTTCATAACTTGTAATTGCTCACATACAGTTTTAAAAATCCCTTTCAGAATGATCCCAAAGGTTTAGGAAACCACGTTCAGGCTAACGTGCCTTCCTGGCAAAACTACCTTCTCGGGAGCTACCTCCTGGCCCTTGAGAGAGAGCGCAGAAAGAAAGCATTTTTGTCTCAATTTTCAAAGTAAGGCTGAGAAAAATTTAGTAACCTTTACACAACAAGTGTAATGAAAACTAAAGCCAAAAATAACATCTTATTCTTTGTAGTCTTACCATAAAACCTGTTGCTGCCTCAATTTCCCTTTAGTTGTAAACTTATTAACCAATAAATATAATCCTCGGGCACCTTGAGACAGTTCTCTTAAAAACAGTTTACTCATAAGAAAAAAAAAAAGCTTCATTTGACATATAATTTTCCTTAAAGCTTTTCTGCCCAATTTTTTCTAAAAGCCATACAACATTCACCAATTCCACTAAACGCAGCACATGGCCCATCATTTCTAGCTTTCATTCCTTAGCAAGTGTGCACTTCCTCCTTTAACCTCTCCTCTCATGCAATCTATTCGGACCCTTGTAAAGAAATAAATTTAAAAATGTAGTTCTTACTTTACCAATCTGTTCATGCTGAGGAGCTCCTCCGATGACTTCGGTGGTATCCCTACTCCAAAAGTGACCAGCTCCAACCGAGTATCCTTCAAGAAAACGGACACAATTGTGAGACTTGTCATCTGCCATGGGTGAAATATATTATCACATATCCACTCAGAATTAAGTGAGACTGAATACAAAGTGACTACACGGAACAGAATTTTAATAACATTTAGCAAAGCAATACTAGTACACACAATTGGTCATTCATTTTATGCTTTAATTATTAATATGTGTGTTATGAAACAAATTGAAGATAGCACCTTTACATTTGGTTTGTTAGTCTCTGTGTAGTACCAGGACATGCAAGCTTCCTGCATGTCCTTTTACTACAGAAATATTTTAGAGTATATAAAATATGACATTTTAAACTTTAAGTATAAATTTCCTAAGTTGCATTTTTTTTGCCATGAAATCTTCATTATGATAAAATTTTATGATGATAGAACTGGGGAAATATTTTGGTTTTATTATGTAATAAAAAGGGTAATGCCAAGTTATATTTTATAATACTTGAAGATAATCTTCAACTATAAACAAGTAAATGTTGAATTATAGATGAATTCCCTCTGTTTGAAAGTGAATCCCTTCTGTTCAAATGGGAAAAATAGTACTGCTTTTCTTATCATTATTTCTGAGTATAAACTGCTCACATTTGAAACACATATGGTTTAAGCAAATCTGTACTTTCTAAGAAACTATAGGAAAAGCATTCCTTTTACTATAGTGGAAATTAATGCCAGAAAAATCTCGTGTTTCTATTGAAACAAACTATAAATAATCCCACCTCTGATTCATTAAATAAGAATAAGAAGATAAATAAGGATAAGAAGATAAAAATAGCTACGCTATGAGAAATATTATAAGAACTTATGAGGCAAAGGTCAATGAGCTGTTTTTCAGACCCATATGCTTCATAATGTTACCCATTGTCTAGAATGCAGTTGACAGCCTGACTGATTTTCAGCTGGTCCTTAAGAAACTATACTTACTTACTCTTATATAATTAAATGAGTTAATTAATGTAGAGTGCTTACAAAAGTTCCTCAGATATGGTAAGCAATCAATACTACCTTTATAATAATAAAGATACAAGCCCTCAAGTGTTTTACTCCACAGAATAAACACTTTGCAGTAAACCAGGAATTCCAGTCTAAGAATTATATGTCGATGACTGTAGTTCCATATGTTCAATGTAAGTTAAAATTTCATAGATTGTATTCTTAAACAAACTCTCTTTTTAATAACCACTGGCCATTTTGATCTTTTTTTTTTTTTAATCCTCACCTAAGGTATTTTCCCACTGATTTTTAGAGAGAATGGAAGAGAGAGGAAAAGACAGAAATACGGTATTGACATGTGAGAGAAACACATGGATTGGTTGCCTCCTGCACACGCTGGGGAGGAGCCTGCAACCAAGGTACATGCCCTTGACCAGAATCGAACCCAGGACCCTTTGGTCCACAGGCCGATGCTCTATTCTCTGAGCCAAACTGGCTAGGGCCATTTTGATCTTTTGAAAATATAATTTCCCTTATTTATAATCACTAGTATCTGTAAGAAAGATTATAATTTCAGTTTGTCAATTTTTACAGTACCTAAGTAACTTCCAAATTTTACTTGATTGTCACTGTCTGAAAAAGCCACATATTTATTTGAAGTTATACTGTAGACAAAAATAGAGCCAGTCCAAAAATATGATCCTGGAGCTCCCATCACAATTAAATCCTGTAAGAAATAAACAATTTAGCATCATTTAAAAGTTTAATCTCACCACCCCAAACCTCTTCCAGATATACATTTTAAGTAAATAGTAACAAGAACAGATTTTTTATGATAAATTTCTAAAGCCTGAGCATTTTATGAATTTAAAAACACACCAGGAAAAAAAAAAAAAAGCCAGAGAAGCTAGCTAATGGATTTTCACTAAAAGTAGAGTTTTAGAAAAGAAACTTTCACTTCACACTTATCAGTGGACTTAGAAATCAAAGGTAGAATCATTGAACACTAGAGTAAGTTTTCAGGAGAAAGGCAATGTGGTTTCTATTAAAGTCAATCATATCTGGGTAATTCATTAGTGCTCATTACAGAGATAATCATGTGTTGTCAAAGAGTGAAAAAGTAGACAATTTATTTCAGTTTGCAAAAAGCCATTAAGTAGTTTCCTTAACAATGTTAGATTAGAAAAAAAAAGAAATCCAATAAAACAGTGGTTCTCAACCTTCTGGCCCTTTAAATACAGTTCCTCATGTGGTGACCCAACCATAAAATTATTTTCGTTGCTACTTCATAACTGTAATGTTGCTACTGTTATGAATCGTAATGTAAGTATCTGATATGCAGGATGGTCTTAGGCGACCCCTGTGAAAGGGTCGTTCGACCACCAAAGGGGCTGCGACCCACAGGTTGAGAATCGCTGTAATAAAATCTTGGGCATGTGGTTAATGATTCTCTCTTATCATTGATGTTTCTATCTTCTCATTCCTCTCTGAAATCAATAAAAAAATATTTTTTAAAAATCTGGGGACATATTTGATGATAAATATGGATTTAGAAAAAGCAAACAGAGGGAAGGTCAAATAAGCAGATAGTTGTCTAGTAAAACATGAAAACTTTCAGCAACCAAACCTACTTAACATATTTCTAAATTTCCTAAACAATTCTGAATTTCAAAAAAGACCAATTTAAATATAGATTAAAGAAATCATTGCTTTTTTTACATAGTAGGTAATATTTATGGAAATTGTAAACCTAAGGCCTTCTACATAGATTCAGAAAACATTCATGAATTCATAACTGGTTTTTAAGGGAAACTGGGAACTTTGGAGGTTGAGTACAACTGTGATCATTCACTGGAACTCACAGAATGACTAGAGTGGTAGAAAAAGAATAATCGAGTTTGAGAATATATCTAATCTAAGAGGTTATTAAGTTCTTCAATCTCCCAATTCTCATAATTTTAATTGAAAGTGTGAATTCATATGTTTACTCCTCTCCTCAACAAGTAAAAATAACATAGGCATTTTCGATGTCTAAGTTAACAAAACAAATAACTATAGCTACTTTTAATTTCTATTAAATTCTTAATGAAAGTAATATTCTTTAGAATAGACTTTTAATTGCTCTTATTTGGCATAGCTATCTAATATTAGGTATTTTCTCACAATATACGTCAAATATTCAGTGATAAAAATTAAGCTATAGTACTGTACTTTCAAATATTAATCATATATTATACAATTTTTACTGTAAAGCATAATATCAGTCTTCTAAGTCTTCAGAAACATTAAAATTCTATATGTAAACATTCACAGCAGCTATTTTTTGGACTATTACCTTCGTGTGAAAACTAGATATTCCAACTTGACATGATGCAAAATTCTCTCCAAAAGTTTTCACATAATCTAAAATAAAGTAGAAAGAAACAATTCAGGATTTCACATAAAGACAAAATCTGTATAATTTTATTTTATGGAGGATAGGTGACTAGGCCAGAACACAAATTAAAAAATACTTGAATGGAGGCTCCTAGCTCTACCATCAGCCAGTTTTTGACCAAAGGCAGAAAAGGGGGAGAGAAACTTTCACAATGACTATTGTCCTCATTTCATAAGCCCCCCTCCCTTCTCCACATTCATTTGCAAATATGGATAGGCACTTGGGATAAAAAATAGCATAACAATCGGAGGTGGGGGCCCCTTCTGCTACCAGAGGGCTGGTAAAATTAGATGAGATCCTTGGTCACAGTTTTCTCCTCTATAAAATGAAGGCATTTGACTCAAAAAATTGCCAGAATTTCTCCCACAGCTAATATTCTAAAGTCTACTGCCTAATTTCATATATGCGATTACCAATCAGAAATTACACGTATTTCATTCCCAATTTTTTTTTTCAGTTATAGTTCCTCCATTAAAAAAAACTAACAGGGGGAAAAAAAAAACCCCACATACAGGCTTCCTAGATTTTGCCCAGTAGAGAGTCTCTTATTATGAAGCCGCTATGAATGGATGTTTTTGGAACTTGCTATGAACACAAAGCTTTGCTTCTGAAACACTGACATCAGTAGTAAACGTCTATGAAAATAAGAATCAGGACCACATCTTTGCTTTGGTTTTACTAACTAGAAAATTTAAAAGAACTGCTGTCATTTATAATTACTATACTCTGTCATGATTTTCACTTTTTTTTAATATCTTCCCCAAGTCTATTTTTTCAATTTTTATAAATTTTCCCATAATTTTAGTTATACTTATGTCATCTTGATTTTTTTTTTTTTTTGTAGAATGTGACTAGCAAAACTAAAAACAATTATGAAAATGTTTCAAAGTATAAATCACAAACCATTAGGAAGAAGAGGATAATAAACATGGAGAAAAATAGACTGAGTTTTACTGCATTAAGAATTCAAAATTCACCTTTTATTTTCTTGCCATCCAAAGGCCAATCAGGAATATATATAAGCTTCTCCATGATATCAAATGCAATAATAGAGTCAGTACCTGAATTTGCGTATTTGTTCAAAATTTTGTTAGGTGATAGATATTTTCTTGGAGACTGGAATAATCATTTTGGTTAGAAAAGTTGGAATGTATATTTATTTAATGCTGAGTTTTCCAAAGACAGATTTTTAGACCTTGTTCTATTGCAGATATATTTTTTTAATGCTCTATTGACATTCACCATGAACTTTTTTCCCTTCAGTTGTTTATTTACGTCCTAGCTCTGTGTGCAGTAATGCTACCTATGGTCTAGAATTTTTATGGGAAAACCTTTCAAACTTAAGATACCGATCCCTTGTTAGTTCAAGAAAAACAAGTGAATTTGAAAAAAAAAAAAAAAAGTGAAAAATACTTGCTCCCATTATACTTGAATCTTTCTGAATATTCTTTGCAGCTAAAGATAAAGCAAGTAACCTAAATAGTTTTTTTTTCCTCACTGATCATACATTTCAATGTAATTTCACGATTTTAAGTGTCCTATAGTTGTTGAGTATTAGACTCACGTACACGGACTTGAAAATGTATTTAATGCAAAAATGGGTAATTATCAACTAGAATCTAGAATTATCCAAATTAAACTGTGGAATTTCCTAAAAACACAAAGTGCATTTATGAAAACTAATACTGTGACTGAGTAAAAAAACAAAAGGGTGCTTTGAGTATTTATAAAGAACACAGCTATTTCAAAAATCCCCTCCCCACACATCTAAAATTCAAAATAATTGAAAAAAATTAAAAGTCATTCACTTGTTTCTTTTGATCCAGTTAATATTAAAATCTTCTCTTACCTTGATAACATGGAGCTATTCTTGTACTCAGCCCTGTTCGGAAATCAGAGGGCATTTTATAGCAAACACCTGTGGGAAGCTTATTTTCAGTCTTCATGTAAAATATATTTTTCCATCTATGCCCACAAGTCTGAATAAAACATAAAAGTAGACTAAATTATGTGAAAGTCACACCCAGAATATCTGATTTCATGATGTAATCAGTGGACCAATTCCAATAACCTACCACGATGGATCCATTTTCTCCTGGCTGTCTGGAAAGTGTGACCCCCAACCATTGATTGTCTCTTTCTTCCAAACAAGTCTTTCCACAACGGTCTCCATCAGGGCTACCTACCGCATTTGAAAACAACGTTATCATCAGTGACCTTGAAAACCATGTTATTCTAGGAGAGCAGAGAAAATTAACACATCATGCTTGTCCCCAATGTTTTTTCCCTTCAACCACATGTGAAGTGCCCAGATTTCTGCTTCTGTCATCTTACATTCATTGCACAATGGAGAGGGGAGGAATAACTGAGTTATGTAACTGTGAGTTACTTGGTACAAATATGTTTTCTTGAAAGGTGATTTTTATTTGTAGAAATGACTGGAAGGGGAGATGACCAGTTTACACCGACATAGGCTGTGCAAAATCAATGGCAATGTATAATGCTTGGTGAAGAATTCCCACCTCTGCTTGGACCATTTATCTAGCATTATTGACAACATTACCAGAGCACTTTGTAAGACATACCTTGAATTGAGGCATTAACAATAAAAGACAGTATGGTCTTCAGCACTGAAGTCAGCTTCTGGAAGCTGGAAGGGAATGACTGAGCATGTGGAAATGGGCAGTGTATAATGGGCATGGTAACACGGAATAGCACTGAAAGCAAACTACCCCGTAGTTTATATTAAGTTGATCGTGACTGCTCTCAACAAGGGAAAAAAGACATTGAAACCCAGATTATCTCAGTAGTAAATAAAAAAAAACCCTGGTAGCATTTTGGCAAATACATGAATAGAAAGAAAACTAAACATAAATATGACTCATGGGCAATACAGTACTCCTAAATTGTACAAAAGAAAGTCACCTACTCAGTGATAATGTTTCCCTTTGTTACAGTGACTTCTATGCTTTATAGCTAGGATCCTGTATTCAAGTGATTTTAATTAAGTGATTTTAGGGAAGAATAGCTGCAGTACCTTAAGATTCCTTTTGCTGTCTGTATTTCCACCCTCTTCAATTGCCATGTGATAGCCTAGTCCACCCAGGCTTCCTTCCAAAGGCAGGTCTATGTATTTGCATTAATGTGATTGGAAGAATGTGAAACTTGGGTTTGTTTACTTCATTTTGAACACTGGTCACTGTGTTCAGACATTTATAGGAACCATTTTCTAAATTAGGCACTGCCTCCTCCTATAACCTTAAACCTTAAAGTTTCCTGGGCAAACTCAGAATACCTATGTCAATAAGGCTAATATGAAAGTGAAATTATTTGCAGAAGATCTGGGTAGGAGAGATTTTGTTATAAAGAGTATAGGAAGATGATTGTGTATACTCTTGTTTGTTCTTCAAGATGTTGATCAGGAAAAACAGCAAAACTCTTAACACAGCGGAACTGAAGAAAACTTCTAGCCCCTGGAATATTCTGCTTTAGTAGGTTCAGGTGAGGCCCTGACTACCCCAAATGGTTCCCATGATCTAGAAATTGCTATGAAAGAATTAGCAATTCTTATGGGTTATGTTGTTTTGGCCAGGTTTCCTGTAGAATAGTGACTGGCAAGTCCCACCTATTGGCAGTGGCTGCTTGGAGCACTACAGTGAAAGGAAGACACCTAAGGATGGGTCTGGAAGAAGAATGCTGGGGTTGATTAGCAATGTCTATTTGGAATAGAAAGAATCTTGCTGCAGCCCAAACCTTGGCAAAAGAGAATCCCAGTGGAAACGTAAGGTCTCTATGTTAAGACTAATAAAAAGGAAAAGGAAGGGAAGAAGGGAGAGAGAAAGAACTGTATTGTGTGTTTTGGTAGGTAAGGTCTCATACAGAGTTTGATTGTGGCTACATGTCGTCAACATAATGGAAGGAAAGTGAAAGAGAATGACATGAAATTTTAATTTTACTGTGATGCAATTTTCAGTTTGACTTTTCATTAAAATTGCCAGTTTTGGTTTTTTTTTTACTAATGTCAAAAATAGACGATAAATGATAGACCCTGTTTAACTGAGATTGAAGTTCCTATTATTTACAATAGATACTTCAATGAAATATCTTCTAAGAAAATACCAAAGTCTTCTAAATTTACAGTCACTAAGGCAACCAAGTAGGAGAAAACTAAGGACAGGAGAGGAAGGAGGTCACAAGTAACACATATCTCTATTAAAATGTGGTGTGATATAATGGACACTTTCATCAAAATTATACTCAATATTTAGAAACAAATTTACTGTTCTAGAGATGCACCCCAAAAGTTTTAAAAATGTAAACAAACCATAGTTTAGAAGCACACAATGCTATGTAAGTTGCTTGAGAAAAATGGCCAAAATTTTTTTATCCGCAAAAATAGTGAATTGTTACTGTCTGTTTCTTGGCCGAGTCTTTAAATTTAAAAATGAAGACTAGAGAAACCCCTGTGTGATTAAACTGTTTTCTGGAGCCATCAACGATTCCACCTTGTATCATCCTGTTTTCATTTTAGCTCCACCAGGATGTCACCACTGCTCAGAATCTCACACTTCAGGCTCACACACATCATAACCAAACTACTCACTTTCCCACTTTTTTGGTGTCACTTTCCTCAAACATCTTTCTCTCCATGTCTGAGTACCTCTCAGGTCTCTGGGACTTATACCAATGCACCATGCCCCCACCCCCCACTTTTCAAGCCTTTGGCCTCAATTACACCAGCTTTCCTGCCTCTGCAGCTTGCAGATGGCAGGTCACAGGACTTTCTCAGCCTCCATAACTGAGGGAGCCAATTGTGAATCAATTTGTAGGTAGGTTGAAAGGTAGTTAGATGGGTAAATCTATCTAGCTACCCTGTCGGTTCCGTTTCTCTGGTGAACCCTGACTAAATCAAGTACATTATTCATTCACAACTATTCTGTCTACTTCCCAGGCCTAGTAAATAATGACCTACTTCATCTTGACCAGTATGAAGTCTTGTTCATTACTAGCCCACCCCCGGCACAGAGCCTGGAAACGTGTGCTGAAAATGGAAGTTCAATAAATGAAAAGCAATTCAAAGCTTTGACTGGTTTGTTTTGACTGAGTATCTTATCTTCTATTTGTGTTTTGTATCTTAATGTGAAATGTGAGTACAAAAGGATCAATGCCTCGGCAGAAAGGAAATTCACACACCAACACAGTCATGAAACAATTACCCTTCCACACAAGAAATAAGAACTAATTCTAATCAGTGAACACACAGACTCACATTTATAGAGGGTTCTCCTTTTCTTCCTAACACACCTCTGCCGGCCACGATCATACTTCCAGCACCGGTTACAAGACAGGAGCAGTTCAAAGAATGCCTGTAAGTCCCCACTACCACTGTAGGTCTTTTCTTAATTTCCAGGGACTTTTGTTTACGGTTTTCTTCTTTAATGCCTACAGAATCTTGGCAGAGAAATAAAACCTTCTCATCATCAGCTTACACTCGGGGCCTTCTCCCGAGCGTTGCTCCTAAGTCCACTCCTTTATCACGTGGTTCTCGGCCTTGACTGGACGTTAGGATCACCTGGGGAGAGTTCTCAACAAATCCTGACACCTGGTTCCTTCTCCCAGCGGCTCCGATGTGACTTGTCTGGGTTGAGACCCAGACGCCAGAGTTATCTGAAAAGCTCCCTGGGCACTTGTAGTGTGCATGTGGGCTTGTGAGCAACTGCTCTGCAATGTAAACGCTGTGCCTTTCCTGCATTATGTCATATCTGAAAAGAAACCTTCCTTTTAAAAAATGATACTAGAGGGCGGGGGCAGGCTATACGAAGTCAATGGGGGGAAAAAGGAGACATGCAATACTTTCAACAACAAATCTCTCTATAATAATACCTTTTTTCCTCCTTGGTTTTAGCTAGATATTGAATAGGATATCAAATGTTAAGTAAATTTTGTGTGTGTGGAAATTCAGTATTTCTAATGTGCCCAGTAATGATGATGAATAAAACTGGCATGGGAAAGCTAACGTCAGGAAACTGAACATCACAAACAAACCCAGATTATCTTTATTTTTGACTCAAATGTCAGGCTGAAATTATTTATAATCTGGTTTTCAACTCAGCTCATTTATTACTACTGTAAACTCAGCCAATTAAATCAGCTTCATAATTAAAAAAGTGCTTTACATGGTTTAACATAAGAGGTCAGCAGAAATTAACATTTGATAATTTCCCATGCTTTTATACAACTAGAATGACTAATTCTTAGCACAGTTGAATGCATTTTCCCAATAGACATTAAAAATACACAGCTATATAAAAACCATATCCCTTATTCTAAAAACTGAAACCCATTTTTTTCTTTTTTCTTTTTCATTTGGGAAAGGAAATATACAGATGTATGCTTACTACTTCATTTTTTTTTAATTTCCTTCTACTGATTTTTGTATCAGTATATATACATGTATATAAATATGAATAACAGTAACTTCGATAGATGAATATAAAGGATGTTAGTACAAAGCCAATTAAGTACACCTTTTTACCACCCCCTTTTGTTGGTGTTAATTACTGTCATTGTTGCAAGTCCCCAAATATGAAAGAGACTTTGGAAGGGTAGATATTCAATCTTGAATGTCTCCTCCATGAAGGCAGGTACCGTATTTTGTTGACCGTGGCACTCCCACAGCCCAGAACAGGGCCTTCCCTGTAGAAGGCCAGAATGAAATGCGTTATTTGCTAAGGGAGGGAATTCTGAAATACATTATACCACCGCAAATCCTTTACTCGATTTACTAATCCTTCACTGCAGCGATTTCCAACCTTTTTCATCTCCTGGCACCATAAACTAATTACTAATATTCTGCAGCACACCAAAAAATATATAATTTTTCCTGATCTGATAAAAAATAGAATACGTATAATTTTGATTCATTCACACCTCTTGTGGCACACCGGTTGAAAATTGCTGCTTTACTGCAATAATTTCACCAAACTCTCAGGGATCTAAGCTTTGGAGAGATCTTTCTTCACTACTATTCTTCCTTACTTCTCTTCTAAAATATTGCCTTGAGTTTTAAGATGGTAGCAGATGTTCTGAAGGGAAACCGTGTTTGGAGGTTTGAAGATCTTTACAAAGTGGGGTATGTGAGCAGGACTATTTAAAACGGAGTCAGCTGGGCACACAGGAGGTGCCTGTTTCACAGCTGTGCACAAGGATTATGGGGAGTAAGTGAGATATGTGTGAAGCGCTTGGGCCAGAGTTTAGCAGAGAAAGCAAACAAATGTTAGCTGATGTTAACATTGCTGTTATTTTAAAGATTAATCTAAACATGTGATTAAGCTGTACATATGTCATGGAATATATCCTCCATAAAATATTTGTGGCACATTGTTGTTGTCACTTAATCCTTATCATACACATTAGCTCATTTAATTCTCACAGTAGCAGCAGAAGAGTAGTTTATCAATCCCATTTTACAGATGAGAAAATTGAGTCTTATAGAAAAAAATAACTTCCCCCACCCCATGGGGCTGGTAAATGGAAATTATTAGAATAAAAAACTTGTCAGAAATAGACCTGTTACTTCCCACTACCCTACAGCATATAAAATAGAAGTCTACTTTCAGATGTATGAATTAACTGAAGTCATGTCACTAAGTTTTTTTCATCAGAAAATGTATCAAATATCACAAATCTGACCCCAGACTGTAGTCAACTCTATAGTGTTCACGAAAAATGTCATTTACTTGGTCTCTATCTTGTCCTGTGATTTTCCTCAATTTAGATCAGTTCTCAGTGTTTTGGCATTTCCATCAAGGAAAGACCAAAAGGAAAAAACAGACTCACAGTTCTTCTTTCCATCACGTGCTGGCAGCTTGAGTGAAACGCTCTGTGGGTAGGGGTGCCTGGGACTTTTGGTTTTAATGACATGTTTGCTTTATCTGCCTGTGTACAGTGCTGTGACTTCCCCATCACTTCAGACATTTGATCGGGGCACTCCGTCTGGCTTTCTAGCTCCGAAGAGATATGTGTGTGTGTGTGTGTGTGTGTGTGTGTGTGTGTGTGTATCTGATCTTTCAAAACATGTGATGTAATTTCAAAGTTCAGAAAAATAGTGAAAGTCCTTACTTCCATCAATTACTTTTTTTATGTTGAAGTTCTATTCCATTTAAGTCATCTTATATGTTTCAAACTGTTCCACTCTTTTTCTTAATCCTGAAAAATGAATGACTCTTGTTCTATGTTAAATAGTCATTCATTCAAGATACCTTTATTTGTAGAAGCAATAATTACTGAGTGAAAATAATTATACAATTAATTCCTCTACCTAAATTAAAAATATTTGAAAAACATGTATGATTCAAGGCGAACAAATCAATTCAAATGTGACAAGATCCTCAGGCCTACCATTGCAGGGTTATGAAGGTTACGGAACATTTATGGCTGTGAATGCAAGGCTGCCTGGCAACTAGTACGTGTTCATTAAATGGTAAATGCTTCTGCTCCCCAGCACACCCACATTATGTTGCTTTGACTACACCAGCAGAGGGAGTTCACAGGGCTGAGAGATTTGACCAGCAGTCAGCTCTTTAAGCCCAGTGGCCCCTTTTTATAGTTTTTCTTATCAAACCCTAACTATTAAATCCATTATAATAAGTTTATCATATTAACTATTTACTTTCCAAATGCATCTAATGAAACGTGATGATGTTTCTAGGAGCTAACAGTAGTGTGTATGAATTCAATAGTAGTAACAAGTAGTAGAGTAAAATGCCTTTGTGCTAGCGGTGAAATGGGACATGAGAGCACTAAACTTCCAAGCCATAGCCTCCAGCTTGTGTAGGGGGAAACAAGAGTCAAACTATCAAAACAAACATCAACATTAGACACCATTCTCAAAGTATTTTCTCCTTGGAAAAACAGGTATTGAAATATCAGCTTCTCAGATTTCCTATCAAAATCGGATAATAACTAATAATCGTTCACAACTTACGTGAGAAACAGCTTATACAATCACAGGCCCGAAAACGCCAGCATTTCAGTCCTCTTTTTCATTTCATTTCATTTTATATACATTTTTTTAACTTTAGAATTTTATTTATTTTACTTTATTGTATCTGGAAAGAGAGTTGAACACTGAGGTAAACATTGGCAGAGGGTAGTGCCAAGTTTATAAATCGGGGTTGATCCTGAGCTACCATGAGGCCCCAGAACTCTAGAAAACCTGGTTACTTGTGAGCTTGATTCTAGGTTTAGTGTCTCTTCCAGGGATCTTAGGCCCAAACTCTTTCAAATTCCTGCAGAAAACCTACACAAACCTTTTTACTAACTACACCAGAAAAATATACCGCAACTTATCATAATTGAACATGAGTGCACATAATTTAAAGAGGGGCCATTGTCTTATAATAATTGCTAATATTTATGACATGCTTCCTATGTATATATTAATTCATTTAGTTTTCATTCCATCCCTATGAGGAGATATTATTGTCATTATCCAAATTTTACAGGTAGAGAAGCTGAAACAAAGAGAGATTAAGCATCTTGCCCCAAATCACAACCCTAATTAGCGGAGGAAAAAAGGATTCAAGCCCACACTGTTAATTAGAATCTATACTACCTTACAATGACATGCTATTAATGCTTTCCCCTATTAATGTAGGGAAAGAACCCAAATATTAACATTATTAATAATTCTATACTCATTTTATTTCTATAATAAACCTACTAAGCTGGTAACATTAATTTCCAACGTTAGAAAATTCTCTACTTCCATGGTTTCCAGTTAATCTCTTTGTCTTCAGGATTCACTTGAAAAAACTATCACTAATATATGAATTCCATTTTGAGTGTCTTTGAAATAAGAAAACACAAAAATGTTAACAGAAACAAACTCTGGGGAAATCTGCTCTGACTTCATGCTAGGTGGGCCATATTGAAGTTCTGTGCCTGGTTTGGGAATTCACAGGGCAGAACAGAGGATGTCAGGAAGGCAGCAAGGCTTAAAAATATGTGAGAGAAGTAACAGTCAGGGAGTCTTTGGCATTGTCCTGAACCATTGGAGGATTGGACTGAGATGAGGAGTTATAGCAGACGAGTCTCTATAAAAAGCTTAAACTTTAAGGATGGGATAAAATGTTGCAGAGATAATGACTGTGGAAAAAACCTACCAAATACTAGAAAACATTCACAGGAACACAAAGAATGGTATCAGGGTGAGGTAGACCTAGAAAGATTTCCCAACAGAGGGTGTGCCTGGGAAGAGTCTCCTATGTAGGGTGTCTAATCCACTTCACACATTATTTCCCATCAAAGAGATCTGGCAACTAAGTCTACATGGTTACTCTTCTCATTGTGCATTACAGAATTTCATATAAATATTTCCTATCTTTAAAAAAAAAGATTTTTGGAGGTAAACTGAGAGCATCAGCACAAACACAATGCATCATTGAGCC